ATTCACATCCTGGTGAATATCTTACACAATTAGCAAGAGAAGCAATAGATTTTGTAAGACATAAATTTGGATGTACAGTAAAAAGCTTTGTGACTGACAATGCAGCTAATGTGAAATCAATGAGACAAGTATTGTTATCTGAAAGAGATATTGTCATAACTTATGGGTGTGCTCCTCATATGCTGAATTTTTTAGCAAATGATCTTAACATTGAAAATGTGAGCAAGCATGTTACACTAATAAAATATATAAGAAATAATCATCAAGCTGGAGCACTTTATAAATTAAGCGGAGGAACAAAATTGCCACTTTCTACTGAAAACTCGCTGGAATTCTGTATGGAATTCACTTGAAAAATATGTCAACAAATGGACCATTATTTTTACAATGTTTGAAAAAAATAAAGACTTGGATCCCGTGATTGGTAAAAAATTTAAGTGATATACAGATGAAGCGAAACACAGAAGATTTATTGAAAATATTGAAATCAATTGCAGTAGCTCTAGATAAGTTGAAAAGAGATGAAACAAAAATAAGTTACTCTTGTAATTTTTAAAGATTTGATGAACAGTTTATCATTTTTATCAACTGGAAAAAAAAAATTGAATCTAGATAGCTTCAGACTGTCAGTGATGCTCATTTCCTGGCAAACACACTTGATCCTAGATATTTTGGATCTAATATTTCTGAAAATGAAAATGAAGCTGCCATGAATTTTGCAGATAAAGAGTTACCAATATTATTCAAATTAAAAGCCAAATCTACCATAACATAATGGATATTGAAATTAGATGATGAATTTGAAAAAAATCATAATTTATTTAAATCTTTGAGTGGTTTAAACACCTTTAAAACTTAAGACTCAAGATTGTATTTCTAAAGTTGCAAATAATTGGATGTTTTCACCTAGTTTATGTCGAAAACATCCAATTATTTGAATTATTTTTTTTCCAGTGGAACAAAGCAATTTGTTTGGAAGAAGAGTTAATAACTCTTTTGAGCACCAACCACAAAGCACTGTGATTTCTGCAGAGCACAAATGAAAATCTTTATTTCCAGTAATCAGTGGTTCCTGAAAATGAAGAACTTTGTGTCTGTGTTTATGAGAAATTGATAAGAATGTTTTCCATTAAAAATAACGTCAGTTGCTGCAATTGAAGAGAAATGGTTTAACTTTTTTATAAGCCATATGAAGATAACTGATGAAAACACCAGTGTGGGTTCACTCCTACAAATAATTATTTTAAAAAAAAAAGTTTTAAATGCAACAGTTTAAAGAATATACAAAAATTTAGACTCAAACTCAACTTTAAATAAACAACAAAAAAATTTAGACATGTTCAACTCTTTAAACTCTATTTAAATGAGAATCAAAGATCTATTATGCTTCCTAATCTCTTTCAAAGATCTATTATGCTTCCTAAAAACACAGCAACAAATCAGTTTTTTTAAATAAATGAAAAAAAAAGAACTATAGATTTTATCTTCAAACTAAAACAACATAAAGATTGTTAAATAAATACACTAAACAAAAATTTAGCAAGAGACAATATGATAAATATGATAATATTTGTTGTAAAACTGGCATTATTATTTAAATCCAGCTTGCTCCTTCACAAAAAATATATCAATAGTATATAACAAATGACTGAAAAATTTTAAGAAAAAGCAATAATTGAATAAATTTTAACTAAAAGCATATTTATTTATATTTTAATATTGATTATCATATACTATACAAAAGGTATATCATAGCAGATAGCTTGTGTTCCATCTGTAAAATTATTGTCTCTAAAAATCAAAATTTTTTTGTAACTTCTTATCTTTGTGATAACTTCTTATCTTGGTGATAACTTCTTATGTTGTGATAACTTCTTATCTTTGTGATAACTTCTTATCTTTGTGATGACTTTTTATCTTGGGTTCACATAAAATGTAATGACCTTAACAATATAGACTATCAGTTACTTAAAAACTCTTCTAATGATGATTCATGGTTTTGTAAGAATTGTCTGAGCTGTTTATTTCCATTCAACAATGAATATTTTATTACTAATGGCTCAAATAGTATTAAGAAAAAAGTTGTTGGTCACCATTTAAAAAATCTCAAATCTTTTACTGATACCTTTAAAAATCTCTTTTGTGAAGCTGATCATAAAATAAAATCAGCATTTAATAGCTTCTACACTGATATCAGTGGTTAAAGTCATCTTTCTAATGATAAAAATTCTTTTAAGGTTATTCACCTAAACATTGCTTCTCTCTCAAAGCACATTACTTGGAACATTTATTAAAATCAACTCAACTAGAATTTGATATTATTAGGATAAAAAAAACTAGATTAATTAATAATAAAGTTCCAACTATGAATATCTTCCTCAATGGTTACTGTTATGAACATTGACCAATCACAAGCTGGAGGTGCTCTCTTATACATTAATAATAAGTTTGCATATAAATCTAGAAAAGATCTTCATGTTTACAAACCAAAAGAATTAGAATCTGTTTTTCTGGATTAATAAACCCTGAAAAATCTTATACTGTTATTGTTTGTATATATAAACATCCATTAATGACAATAGATAACTATAATACATTCTTTATTTTTCCACTACTTGACAAACTTTTTAGAGAAAATAAAACTGTATTTCTACTAGGTGATTTTAATATAGATTTAATTAATAGTGACTTTGACTAAATCTAAAATATTAATTGAAAACATATTTTCAAACCTTAAATCAAAAATTTTACTGCAGGTAATTTCACATCTGATCAACTCCCTCAATTTCTGATTGCTCATGACATCTTATATAATACAAAAATAAGCTTTTAAAAATATATATACAAACAAAGGATTCCGATAATAAAACTGTATTTTATAATGATTACAAAAAGTACCGTATACACTTCAATAAATAATTAAAGAAAAAATTAAACTAAAACAACTATTTAAAAAAATATATACTTAATATGAAAGCAACATGGAAAGGTATTGCTAATATTATCAACCTTAAGCCTACTTCACAAGTTTTACCAACCATAATTCTTTACTAAGCCTACGGATAGTTGTGAAATAATAAAGGTTATTGCATCTCTAGATGCTTGTAAGTCATCTGGTCCTAATAGTATCCCAATAAATATCTTAAAACTACTTAGAAATGAAATATTAATTATTTTGTCAAATATTTTTAATATCTCATTCTCTAAGGGATTCTTTCCTGATATTTTAAAGACTGCTAAAATTGTTCCTAGTTTTAAAAAAGATTTAAAGTTATTAGTATCTAACTATAGACCAATATCCCTGCTCTAAAATATTGATTAAGTTTTAGAAAGGCTTAAGTTTAATCGAGTTTACAACTCTTAACAACTCTAACATTCTGTGTGATTTATAATTTGGTTTCAGAACAAATTATTCTACATCATTTCCCCTATTGAAGTGCTTTAGATAAAGGATTGTTTGGTTATAATATCTTTATAGACCTTCAAAAAGCCTTTGATACAGTGGATATTAAAATTCTATTTAAAAAACTAGCTTACTAGGGTATAAGTGAAGTTTTAAATTTTCAAACTTTTCCTTACAAATAGAAAACAGTTTGTCAGTTCAATCTGTTAGTTCACAAATGTTAGTTCGATCTGTTGACAACAGATCGAACTAACATTTGTGATGTCACTGTTGGCATGCCTCAAAGGTCTGTGCTGGGTTCATCATTGTTTTTAATCTATATAAATGATTTATCCAAAGCCATAAAATTTTTTAATACTTTGCTGTTGACACAAACCTGCTCTATCTTAATAAGTCAATCAATAAAATTAATATGTTAACTATGATCTAAAAAAGCTTTGCAACTGGTTAAATGCCAACAAAACTTCTTTAAATTCAAGTAAAACTGAGTTGATTATTTTCAAACCAAGGTTAAAAAAACCTCCTCAAAATAAAATCAAACTGTAAAAAACTTTTCCCCCTAAAATGTGCTTACTACCTTGGAATGAAGATTGATGAAAGTTTAACCTGGAATGATCATATTATTCATTTAACAATAAAATTAAATAGATCCAATGCAATTCTGTCTAAACTTAGAGATCTTGTTGACAAAAAACAATAAAATCTATATATTTTGCCTTATTTAGTTCATTTTAAAAACTGCCTTTTTATTCATAGTTGTATTAATAATAAGATGCCCACTAACTTAACAGAATGATTTACTCCAACAATATATATTCATACGTAATCTACAAGCTTTTGATACAAAATTCTATGGTAGACATTCCTTTAAAAACTTTGCAATTAATGACTGGAATTTTTTACAAAGTAAGCTAAATACTCTTCATTTCTGTAAACTAAATAAAAAAAAGTCTTAAAAAAACTTAAATTAATATTCTTAAATTCACTTAATTAGAGACAATAGTTTTCCATTAGTGATATATTTATATATGTATATATATTCTATTCTATTTTTTGCTTTAATTTGTGTTTGTTTTCATTTATTCTTCTTTATTTTATTTGTATTTATTTTTTAAAACTTGTTTATTTTCTTGTCCTTGTCCTTTATGAATTGTATTGTTTACAAGTATTGTAAGTTGTACTGTTTACAGTAATTGTATTGTTTACAAGGTCGCTCTCTTTATTTTAACCAGGCTATATAAGCATGAACCTTGAAGTCAGTATTATGTTATTTAACACCTTTGCACAATATTTACAGGTAAATATATTGTTATTGTTGTCTTTGTTGTTGTTGTTCTATGCTGAGATAACTCCGCAAAATTTTCATTTATCTGATAATTAGAGAAAAATATACTGTCTAGATTTTCTGATAAACTTTCTTATTTTCTGCTTTATGTTAATCTGTTGTTAACAAATAATTGGGAACAATCGGTAAAAAAGACTACTTTTTAATTAAACCAGGTATCATCTTTTTAAAAATAATCATCTAAATAACCAAATGTTAGGTTTAATATTCATAGAACTAGAAGAAAAAAAAAACAATAAAAAATACACTCACCACATTTAAAAGCCATAAACTTATATTCAAAATTTCTAAAAATTCAGTTATTATTAGCTTAAATATATTTTCCAGTAGCTTTTTATACTATTTTGCATCTCAAGACTATTAAAAACTTTAGGGTCGTTTAACCTTAGTCCAATTGATTTTTAATTGCCACTTCCGTAAAGACTTTCGTTTTCGATTTTAATTGCCGATTTCAGCAAGGGATTTAATTAAATTTTAATTTAATTAAATCTTTGATTTTATTCATGGATTTAATTAAATTAAAATTTAAAATTTTAAGATTTCAGAGGTTCTCAGAAATCTTCTAAAATAAATTATTCAAGTATTTGTAAATAAGTTAACACCTGTGTTATAGTATATGGTAAAACTTGTTATAAAAATAGTAATTAACCAAACTGTTTCTATTCTGCTTCTCTCCGAAAATTAAAAAGCACCCACTTTTTAATTTCCGTAATGTTTTTTATCGTTGTTTAGTCTTTCAAAAAAATTAATGTGTAATAGAACCATTGAAATCTATGAAATTTGTATTTATATATTTATTAAACCAAAACAAAATTAATATGAAGTGCCACTTATGGATGAAATATATTTTTAGAAAGAAGCATAATATCAAGGTTATTGAACGATAGGAGTATTAATAAAGGAAATATAAAGATGCAATGATCTTCATAATAGTTTTTTTTTTTTAATTTTAATTTTGTTATAAAAGTTGCACCAGAAGTAAAAATTGATGGTAAATGACTTGCTGTTGCATTTTGGTCAGTGCATTACGTCTCTACATAAAGATGGTTATGTGCGAAGTGTAATTTCTGATAATCATCTAATTAATGTTTCTTCGAATTTGATAGATTAAATATTAATAAAACAAACACGTCAATAGTATTATTTATCACACAAAAACAAGGCAAATAATTTATTTGTTTATACTCTTTAATTAATTAAAAACCTTTTTTGAATAAACGAGGTTTTCTTCGTTTTATTTTAAACTTGGACTTGTAATATTTTGATGTTACTAATATATATGCTGGTGAAATATCAATATGATGTTATTGGTACGTATGCTGGTGAAATATCATTACTTTATTATGCATTTAATAAAGACAAGTTACTTCCGTCAAATTTAAAAAAAGCAACTTGAAGTAATTTATAAGATTTTAAACTATCTTACAAATTACTTCAACCAGAAGATAAAAAGTACTTTCTCAGCCATGAGTGGAAGCTACAACGGTGTGCAAACAAAAGTTAAGAACAGAATAATCTACCAGTTTTAGAAAAATTTTTTTTTTTTGTTCTTTTAGGTGCCCCTAACGGTCTTGTTACAGAGAACCACGTAAGTGCATTTAACTAAGAAGTTCACGCCTCCTTCCTTACCGTGACGCGAAAATATATCCAGAGTTCGTTTCGAACCTGGATCTAAAACCTGCTTCTAAAGTAGACGCTCTAACCACTGCGCCACGGCCGCAATTCAAAAATAATTTTTTTAATAACATGTTACTTTTTAATAAATTAGACAGTTACGAAGTATAAATCAATTATCAAAGCAACTTTTTCTTTGAAAACTGATTGGTCAAACAAACAACTGATTGGTCAAACAAACATAGCATTTACAAGCCACAGGAAAACAATTCAATGAAAACCACTTTAGATATCTGTAAAAAAAATTTTGTCTTTTGAAAAGCTGTGTTTAAAAGTACTGTTTCGGGCAATATCTGCACCTGCGGTTATTCACTCTAAACTGTCAGAGATGTCTTAAGCAATTCGGAATACTGTAAAAAACTAAAATTCTTGAATTTAATTCTTGAAATTAGTTTTTTACAGTATTCCGAATGACTCACATTTCATTTATAAATGTCTTTTCCCCATATAAAATTATTTTCCCCATAGCCTAATGAAATCTGAAAAAACTTGTTCAGGTGCTTGCTTATTCTAAACGCCAAAACCTCTTGCCAAAAACTTGTAGAGTTTTTGTTTTTAGAGTAAAGGCAATGACATGCTTTTCAGCCTGATTGTCAATAAACTCAGGTATGCGCTTGATAACAGCATAAACTTAAAGTGTATTTGAAATTCCGAGGGCATCGTATGCTCTGTTTAAATGAAAAAAATTAAAACCTGTAAAGGAGAAATTGAGGAAATTTCCAGAGTATAGCTTTCCAAATAACGAATATTGTTTAAAAGATATCTACAGTGGCCTGTAGATGCTAAGTTTGTTTGACCAATCGGTCGTCTTCAAAGAATAAAAAAAGTTGTTTTGACAAAAGACTTTAACTTTTTATTTTTGTTACTAAGATGCTCTCTAGTGAACGGGCTCGTAACAGAGCATCGCAAAACAATATTTAGCGAGGAAGTTCACGCTGCCTCCTTTACCGATATTGTAAATATGGCTAAAGCAGGCATTGAACCTCAAACCTCTTGGTTTTGAAGCTAGCGCTCTAACCAATGCTACTACCAGAGGGACGATTACTCTAATTTTATAACTTGCTGCCGAGAGTTTTGATTTGTTTAAATGAACTCTAAGAAACTTTCAACATATTATCATTAATGTCAGGTTTTGTACAACAGTTATGAAGTTGCGGAGACTTTTTAAGTCTACATATAACTGAAAATTGACTTTCAGACTTCAGAAATGTAAACTGAATCGTTTTCATCCTTTGTGTGTAGAGACATCAAAACAGACCACATTTTAGATATAATTATCTATCATGGCTTCATCATTCCTTCTTGGGTACCACTTATATTTGTAAAATCTTTCTTTATGTTCTTCACAAACAGCATCGAGATTTAGACGGAATTCAAGATAATGGTGTAAATAGTGCAGTTTGGGTAATATTTTGAAGGCCATCTTCCAATAATTGTGTTTGAATGCAACTCGGGCTTTTTTTCTTTCTTTGTCATTTTACTTATTTTGATGCAAATACCCTTTTTTCTATGGTTCAGAAAACAAACCAGATGTTTGGGATCTCGTAAAAAAAATGATTTTATTAGATATTTTGCAACTAGAATTAAAATGGCTTCATTATATATTTGATCAAGTGGCTTCACAATATATTTGATCAAGTCTAATTTGAGATGAAGCGGAGATAGAAGAACTTTTTCCACAGTTATTACAATAATACTCTTAAAACCGTAGACCCTTTTCTTTCAAATTATTATCTTTGTCTTTAAAACAAAGTTTACAGTGTTGTTGCTGTCTACTGGACACAGGAAACAAGAATACTCGGTGAATCCTCCTCGCATTCTAAGAAGAAAACCAAGCACATTTTAGATCTCCACATGCATCTCAGTTAGCAATCGTAATTGATCTTTTGGAGCAAAGTTATAACGATGTTGTAGTCTTTTTTAAATCTATATAGTGTCTGACTGGTATGGAAGGATATAAATTTTTGTTGTAAAGTAGTACTGCTTTGATTGATTTTTATTAAGCCAAAAGTTGCCTTTAGTCAGGTTGATAACAATGATCATTTTCCAATTAATTCAAAACTTGTGTTACTGTTTAAAGAAGGAAATTCTCAAATAAAAAAAAAAGTCAATTAATAAAAAAAATTCTATTGATTTATTTCATAAATAAAATTCTAAAAATAGAAACTAACATTTGTTACAATATATTTTTTGCATTTATATATATAATATAACTTATACTTTCTATTTGCATGTGTGCCAATATATATATATATATATATATATATATATATATATATATATATATATATATATATATATATATATATCGATACACACTCACAAATGTAATATTAATTATTTACAAAACTAATTGCTATTTCTACAAAATAATTTTTTAATTTCTAAAAGAAATTTTTAAGTTCCTTTTTGGCAAATCTTTATCCTACATCTTTTCGACAATTGTTTATAATGAATATTTATAAACTTTTAATCATATCATAGGTATTTTTAATAACTTTTTATTATGAAACGACCATATTTTACCATATTTTCATCACATCTTTATCGTATAACTTTTCTACAGATTTGCATTACACGTCCTCAGTGTAATTTATCATAAAAATCTTTTCTAGATATCGTTATCATACATATTTATGAGAAATCGTAGCCACCTGCAAATTGCATTTTTCATAAAAGATATCGGAAAGTCAATTTGTTGGCCTTATGACGCAAATTTCGATGAAATGTAAAGCTGCAAAATGGTACTGCTAGAAGATCTAAAAAAAACTAACAAGCCTTTCTTTTTTGCTGCATACAAACAAATTTTAAGTAAGGTTGGATATTCCGTTAGCGCCACATAACTTTGAAATAACTCGCTGCAATGCACGTTTTTGATCGCTTAATTGTCTAGCTTCTTTTTCAGCTTTGTATTGATTACTTTCAGCGTTAGCGAGCTGTTTCATAAGCTCAGCGTTTTCCAAATAAAGTTCATTGACCAACGTATCTGAACGCAATGACTTAGTTTCTATAGCCCTCTTCTTAAAAAAAAATAAATATTGCAAAAGAACACACACACACAAAAAACGGATACAAGAAAAAAAAAGGTCACAAAAATTCTCTTAATATAAAAATAATTAAAAAAAACAACCTCTTCTGATCCTTTACCACTTTCGTTCATCATTTGCCTGAGTTGTCTCAGCTCACAATCGAATTCGTTTTTTTGTTTAGTTGTCTCGACCAGTTTGTCTTCTGCAGCTTTCAGAGCCTCTTCTAAATAACGATTTCGCCGTGTTTTCTCTTCTATCTAAACGATGAAATAAAAAATTATTACAGAAATGTTACCGTGCTGCATTATCTGTTGGCATTTTTGTACCATATGGTCAATCTCATAAAAATTATTGTATAACATTTTACAAAAGAATGTCTGATGCATTAAAACCAGCATTTAATAATAAACGCTTAGGCTATGTTAAAAATAAAACTATTTAAATCGTTTCAAATTAATTGAGTCCTAATTATAATTAGATAAAAATAAACAAATAAAAAACCCACTAATATTATTGCAAAAGCAATTAAAATATTATTTGAATAAATATAAAAGTGCTGAGTAATATGCGTCTCGTTGAATAGTTACGTCAATTATTCTGACAATAAAAAAAGTAACGTTACGATTGACAACCAGTAGCCGTCACCAGTGGAAACAAAGAACGAACACACTGAAACAAAACACAAAAAAGTACAGGGTTAACAAACATTAAAAATACGTAAAAATATAAACATTTTTTATGAATCTGATAGAAGGACTTCATCACAGATGATTCCATGAAACTCATCAAATATCGTTACAACGGGCAAAAACTTTAATCACCATGGAAACAAAACATATCTTATACCTAATTGGTGAATGCATATATAAAAGTAACAAAAAATCAAACACCCGTTGTTTATTTAAAAAATATATATGTAATAAAAATACAGAATTAATAATACTGCTGTTGCAGAAAATTAATAACAGGAAATAACCTTTTACTTGAATAATAAGTAAACAAAACCGGAGGTTCAATTTTATGCTATATAAACAAATACCGGATATTTGCCAATAAATTCTAAATTCAAGTTAAATTTCTTATTTTGTCCTACTTTTTTAAAAAAGTAAAAAATTAAAATAAACAAAGCATCATACAAATTGGACCAAAAAACAAATCCGACCTTTTTGTTGAGATTTATAACCTCTGCTTTTGCGTCATGAAAAACTTTATCTTTTAAAGCACTATCTCGATCACTGGACGCACTTGCAACAGATAACTGATCTCTAAGGTCATTTAACTCCCTGAAATATCGTGATTTTTCTGTCGCTGCCGCCGTACTTAGCATTTCCATCTATTGGTTTATAAGAAATATTAAATTTTAAAAATTAAAATAAAAATTAGGAGATATATTTAAAAGAAAATTTTATTCGTAAAGAGTTGGTTTAATAAAATTTATCTAATTTATAATATTTTCTTACTTATATTTTTTTGAGACAATGCCTAGAGCACACCTTTCTCTAGGGATTTTAAAGGGAATCTAGACTACAGCTCTATTCTGCATTTTGGCTAACAGATTATATACTATACTTAAAAAACATACCCTTTCTTTTTGTGCGCTAAGTTCTTTGCCGTGTACGCTTTCCATATGAATAATTTTATCTTGTAAATGAGCGATCTCTTCCTCAAGTCGTGATATCTTGATGTGTTTTTCTTGAATAATGTATTCGAGTTCTCGAATCTTTGAATCAAGATTAGTCAAGGTCTTTTTCAACATGTTGCTTTCGTTTTCGACCTTATGAAAATTTTCATTAAAATTTTAATACAAAACAAACAATAATGAGGAACAAACAAAATAATTGTAAAATGGGGTGACTTAAGTTTTAAATTTTAAAACGTGTTTTAACTAAATCTTTCTAAAGTTAAAAAACTGCTTTAAAAAAAAAAAAAACAAAAAACTACAGTATTCAATAGACAGCAATTTATATAATCTAATAGGCAATAATTTTTTAATTTTCTTAAAGTATATTATAATTTTTTGAAGATAAAAACTTTATGGTCAAATTATTTTGGAAATGGGTTTGCACATATTATTATATGTATTCATAATTTATTTTGGCAAATAACTTACCAAACGGGGTAAAAAATTTAATTAAAAATATTATTATATAAAATTTGAATTACTTTAGCAAAAGCTTCACCGACTTATAAATTAATGTTTCTTTTAAAAAAAGTAAAAGAGAACACGAATTCTATAGCGAAAACTGTGTTTTGTAGGAGCTCTAATTTTTTTAAAAACCACACAATTTAATTGGTTCTTGGCTACATAAGATGCATTTGATTTGTTTGCAGGGTTTGCAGCATATTTGAAAAATTGGATAAATTGATTGGTCTTTCACTTCTAAAAGCAGCTATCATATTCGCTATTATATTTGTTAAAAAAACAAACTTTTCAAAGTAATTTATTATGGGGCTGCAAATTTTGACTATTAAATTGGTTGGAATTTCACTTTGCAGGATCATGATATAGTAGAAATTTTGTCAACAAAACGGTTTCTTAACTCTCCTTGTTAAGATTTTTAGATATAGCTTAGAATATTATAGTATATTATAATAAAATACCAAAGATATTTTAATATTTATAGTTGATGATCTAATTAATCTAAATAATACGTAAATAATAACTAAACAATATTTAAATAACTTAAACTATAAATATGCGAAAAAATAAACAACTTATAATGTTAAAATTGTCATTGTACAAAATGCGCGAATAAAAAAAAATCTCCTATTCCCTCCCTGCAGATTTTATTTGTTCTAGTCACCCGGTCTAAAAAAGCGTCTTACGCCATATAACATGGCATAAGGCGTTTTTTAGACCGGGTAACCAGAAATCCTGCGTCCGCCCCTGCATTGTACTAGAAAATTTATTGTTCGCATACAACCTAGTAACCAGTAACTTTAACTTTTAAAACTTTCCGCATACAACCAGGTAACCAGTAACCTTAATTTTTAAAACTTACCGTATATAACCTGGATATATTAAATATTGAAATAAACTATGAAATAAATTATGCGTTGCCACTAAAGTATTTAAATTATTTAGCGTTTAACTAGCGTTAACTTGAAGACATGCGTGTGTGAACTGTTTAGATGTTGTTTAAACGTATATTTCATTATAAAAGATTCATATTAAATAACTTAACATTCAAACAATTTCAATTTTTCCAATAATGAGGCAGAGAATATTGTAATTAAATGATTAGTTAACCTATCCACACACACTACTGTGAAGTCTTTCAAAATTATCTAGTTCAATTTCAACCTGCTTAAAATGGTTAAAATTTTAGCGAGCTGTATATATATAACTCAAATGTTTTGATTTACCCAAAAAAAAAAATCCGAAATGTCCTAACAGACCTTTTCATCAATCTCTGCAACAAAGAGTAAATATAAAATACAAAATCAAGGCTAGGTTTGCAAAGATAAAAAAGTTTTCTTAAAACTCTACAATCTCGACTCATTTTCAACTGTTATTAATATTACGCAAGTGATTAATGAAAAGGTCTATTACTCTTGGAATGACGAAACCGGTTGCGCGCGGTTTACCTCTTTTAGCGATTCGATGCACTTGTCTTTCTCACTAATTTCTTTTCCTAATCGAGAATTTTTTTTTTTCAATTCCTCTGCCTGATTTTCAATAATTAACAATTGTTCAATTTTTTCTTGCATTTTTTCCTTTTCATTCTGTAGTCGAGCAATTTTTTCTTGCTGTTCTGTAATTTCTTGAACACTGTTATCGAGAATAAGAGTTTTTTCTCGAGCTAACTCGCGCAAATTTTTTTGCGAACTCTCGCGCTCTTTTTTTAGCGCTTCAATTTCATCGATGTAGTTTGATATTTTTTCATTTATTGAACTTTTCTGCTCTTGAAACACTTTTATTTCGGCAGCTTCTTGCTGCTGAGAAAGACTTTTTAATTCAAGAACTTGATTTTTAGTTTCCAGCTCCTTTTTTTGCTCTTTTAAAGTCGATAGCTCTTTTTTTAAATGCTCAATTGTCATTTGTGAAAATTTAGTTTCGCGGTCAATTCGCGACAAAATCTCATTATCAATATCTTCACTCAGTTTATCGTATCTTTCTTTAAACTCGATTTCCATGTTTTGTTTTTGACGATAAAACTTCTTTAATAGTTCATCTTTTTCTATTTGATGCATATTCATCATTTCTGTTTTTTCACTGGCAAAACTTTCTTCTAAGCGCAACTTTTCAAATGTCCAATTTGCTTCTAATTCAGATTTTTCGCGCGAAAAACTCTTAATTAGCTCTTCCTTTTCGCGTTGATAAGAAAGTTCCCATTCCGTTTTGTATTTGGTAATCATTTGGCTAAATTCATCTTTCATTTTTTCTTTTATTCCAACTTCTCCACCAGTAAATGCTTGCTGAAGATCGGAAATTTCTCGTTTATTGCGATTGTCTAAACGCGCTAACTCTTTCTGAAAATCTTCATTCATGCGTGATTTTTCTTCAGCAAACTTTGATTCTAAGCTTGTTCTAAGCTGTCTAATTTGGGCCTCTGCATTTGATTTCTCATGCTGTAATGCTTTCAAAAGCTCAAACTTTTCGTTGTTTAGCTGTTCTTCTATTTGTGTCCGCTCTTCGACAGATATTCTGCGTTCATTTGCATTTTGCAAAGCTAGTGCGTGGTCATATTCCTGTTTAAGCATGTCACGTAATTCATTTTTCTCTCTCACAAACTTTTGTTCCATTTCTGTTTTTTCGCGTGCAAACGACTCTTTTATACACGCGCGTTCATTGCCAAAAGATTTTTCAGTATCCGTCAGTTTTTGATTAAAAGTTTTTCTTAAGTCACTAATTTCTCGTTGATGCTTTTTATTTAACTCTAAGATTTCGTTTTCCATCTTTTCAATAAGATCGTTTTTTTCTTTTTTTAAACGCCTCTCTGTTTCTTTTAATTCAAATGCGTTTTTCTTGTTGAGATCGTCTTTTAAGAAGTCAATATACTTTTGGGAACGATCGTACTCGCGACTGGTACTAGTTGCATTCATTTGCAACTCGGCGCGTTCTATGCGAAACTTTTGTTCAAGCTCGGCCTTCTCATTAAGAAACTTCAACTCCATTTCAGCATTTTCAGTCTCAAGGATAACAACCTTTTCTTCTAACTTTGTGATTTTTGAGCGATAATTCATTTCCAACTCTTCTTTTTCTTCGCGGAATGTATTCACAAGTTTTCTATACTCTTTCTGAAAAGATTGTTCGCGATCAGAGAATTCAGACGCGCAATCTATAGCTCCCTTTATTAGATCGGAACCTTCTTTATTTTTTTCTGTAGAAAGCTGTTGACGCAATATGTCCAATTTTTTTTCATAGTAGTCAACTAGATCTTTTTTTTCTTTAGAGTAGGTCATTGATAACTCATCGCGTTCTGTTACCATAATTCGCTCCATGTTAGACAACTGAGTCGCGCATTTATCAGCGATGCGATCAACGGATGATCGATCACTTGATAAAGACCTCATTTCTTCATAATGCTTATTGACGGTTTCTAACTCTCTCTTCAAACTTGTAATAACTGATTCTTGTGAAGCAATTATATTTTGAAGCTCGTCAATTTCTAAACAATAAGATCGTTTAAATGAACAATTTATTGCATGTTAACATGTTTTCAAAACACTACTATAATGTGTTAAATAATAAATTAAATGTAATGTAAATTAATAAGGATTACATAAATTTGATTGTGTTAATTAAGCTTAACCTTGACTATAGTCAAGCTTAAATGAATAAAATTAATGGCAATGCTCATAAACATTTTCTAAAAATATGTTAGACCATTTACCATTTTTTGCATTGGCGGTGGTATCAAACCCGTCTTCATAAGTTTCACTACCACTTCTTCGAACCAATGGTTTTACATAATTTGACAAGAGAGAACCGCTTCTTGACAAACTATTTTCACTTTTTGAAGAACGGTTTGATAGCCGTTCAATCTTTGCAACATACTCGTCAATTCGATCACGTAATCCCTTAAGAAAAAGGTTTTTATTAAAAGAAAAAAATCTAATATGACAAAAATAGTATTACAAGACTATAAAATAATACAAGACAATAATAACAAAAAGTGATGTTACTAGTTAACCTTGTTAATACTTTCAAGTTCAAAGATCCTATTGCTTTGCTGCGTTTTTTTCTCGTTTGCAGCATTAAGCTCTTTTTCCATTCCTGTTATCTGAGAAATACACATGAAAACATTTTTATTCATCACACAACTAAAAATTATTCTAACTAATATTTCTAACTAACAACTAATAATTTACAACTAAAGAAAAACAAGATTACCATGCAACTAAAAGATTAAACAAGGTTATCATGCAACTACAAAAATACCTTATGTTTGAAAGAACGGTATGTCTCGAGCTTCTCTTCTAGCCTTAAATACTTATTTCGCTCTTCTGCAAGCTCGTTTATTTTTTCCGTTAAACTTTTTTCCAAATGTGAAATTTCCTGTTAAACAATATGTAAGTTTTCTTAAAAAAAATATTACAGTAAAATACGTATACACTATTAGCGTCAATCCCATAATAGTATAATAAAGTATTTAAAAAATACAAATTATACCGCTTTGGCATCTTGAAGCTTATTTTTTGTTTGTGCATCTTCTCTTTTTAACTCCTCTATCTTTTCGTTAAGCGCGCGAATCTCTTTCTGATTCTTTGATAGTATAAAATTGTGTTCATTGTTTAATTCGCGCTCTTTTGACATCACACGTTCCGAAAAAAGCTGAGCTTGAAGCCTGAAAAAGTAAAAAAAAAAAAATTAGAATTATTTCACAAATAATTCTTATTCTTTTTTAAAATAAAAAAAAAAATTACTTTAATTTTTCTTCATTCCTTTGTTCAGTTAATCTCACGTGATGCTCTCCGTCACGAAGTTTTTCAGCCGTCGCTGTTTCAAGCTTCATGAGCTGGTCTTTAAGCACGCCAAGATCTGCGCTTGAAGCATCCAATTGTCCTCTATTATATATATAATATATGTATATATATATATATATATATATATATATATATATATATATATATATATAAATACATCATGCAGTTAAATATTATTTTTATAATTTTTGAATAGTGCAACGGAAACTCTAATAGAGTAAATTATAAAAATTTAAAGATAACACCAGTAAGTTACCTACTTATTTATATACTTAGTCAATTCATGAACAAGAAGATCAGCACGATCTTCGTAATCTCTCGTAACTGAGCACTCTTCAAAAATCTCTTCCGTTTCATGACCTTCAATAATACGTTTTAACACGTCAGGACTTAAAACGCGACCTTCAGGGCTCCCATTACGCTCATTCAAAGATTGCGACTTAGACCGCGTTAAAAGTGAATCTCCGTTAATGTAGTATGACATTTTAAAAAACTCACTTACACTGAGCTTATTTTACACAACAAATACTTTATAAAGTAACTCTAATATTAAAACTTTTATTTAACTTTTCGTTCGTCATACGATAAAACATTTTTTAACGATGCAATGTAAAAATCGAAAACTGCAATAGTGATTTAAGCTAGAGAATTTTCTGAGTTGAATTTAGTTAATTGAAAGGCGCTTGAAAAATAATAGCTGCTGGTTTGGACGCCAAAAACATTGCGCAGGTGAATAATTCAAGATATCATACTCAACTAGGGCTAAACTCATGCAGCTATTTAATTGATTGGTGTTAATGTCTAACGATTGTTTATATAGATATATAAAGAGTATACATTGAAAAATAACTTTATATTACTTATAATTAATAAAATATAAGTAACAATAATTTTGTAATTTTATCTGAAAAATAAAAATTACACTATTTACTCTGGCGTTCATATCATACAATATTTTTTGTTTATAAAATCAACAACACAAAAATAATTAAAAAAAAAAAAAAAAAACTTACTGCAAGTTTTTAATTTTTCTTCTGTAAATTTGCAGCAAAGAATTAGTGAGGTCTAAAATTAAAAAACAAATCAAGTTGAAATTTCATATTAAAGATACATTGAAATTTTTTACTATAGATAAGTTAGATATTCAGATTATAAAGTGTTATGAAATTTAAAAAAAAAGAAAAAAAATCACCGTCATCTCGTTCAAATACCAGAGATTCGAATAATCCTAACACCTTTTTAATGCGGATTTTACCATTAGTATCAGGAGAAAGTTCCTTAAATAAAATTAGTTTACCATTAGTATCAGGAGAAAGTTCCTTAAATAAAATTAGTTTACCATTAGTATCAGGAGAAAGTTCCTTAAATAAAATTAGTTTACCATTAGTATCAGGAGAAAGTTCCTTAAATAAAATTAGTTTACCATTAGTATCAGAAGAAAGTTCCTTTAATAAAATCAGTTAAATTTAGAATTTTTTGTTTTTTTTTTTAAAAAAAAACAACAAAATTTCTCTATATAAAGTAAAAGATTTAGATAGTAGATTTTAAAATGTGGGTTAAACTTTAAAAGTTAAACTACATAAATTTTCCATTTTAAATCACGTAATTTTTGGTTTTGACCTATTTACTGAGTATTTTCCATTCAAAATTTCAATAGAATGCAAAAATTGAAATTTAGATTTTTTTTTATGGCAAATTCGAAAATAAATTAATTTGCTATAAAAAAAATAAAAACTTTTTTTTTAATTTTGAAACCAATTGAAGCATTAAATTATTTCACACTGCGGCAATTTTTTACTATTGTTTTAACCAGAAAAAGTCACTGCGATTGCTTTTAGCCTAACTTTGAGCGAAAATAAAGGAACTTAAGGGAATAAAAAGAATAAAACTATATTAACTCAAAATGTTACTTTTATTTAGATTTAGAAAATTCATATTTTTAAATTAATTGATAAATTATATCAACTTATTAAAAACGTTAAATAAAATATTTGGATGAAATAAATTTTTGTTAACTAACCTGATTTTAAAATTAAAAGTATTGTTTTAACTATTAAAACTATTAAATGCTTGACTGAATCTTGTTTTCCTGTCAGCTATAAAACAACATCTATGGTTTCTATGGTTTCAATTTTTAAAAACTCTGGAGAACATTTTTACTTTTCTAACTATTGTTCTATCAGTCTTTTCTCGATTAGTAGCAAGGTTTTTAAGTCCAATAAATTTCCAAGATCCAGTCCTGAGTCTAATAAACTACTCTTTGACAAACTTTGGTTTTTGATCTTCTCATTCTGACTTGCTAACTGTACTAACAAAAGGATTCTATCAAGCATGGGGTGCGGCAATTATATGGGGGGCGGCAACACAGGGGGAAAGGGGGACAACAATTATATGGAGACGGCAAGGCAGAGACAATTGATCTTGACATATCTAAAGTTTTAGATAAAGTTTGGTATGCTAGTCTTCGCCATAAGCTTGTTTCATATGGTCTGGGAATTTCTTTCTAACTGCAGTAACAGAGTCATCCTTAAAGTCCAAAATTCTTCTACAATTGCATCAACATCTGGAATACCTCAAAGTTCTATCCTTGGTATCCTTTATATTCCTGTATAGACAAGAAGTTTTCTCTTTTTAATCATTTAAAATAGGCAGCCGATCTTGATTCTGATCTCTTTTATGAAACAGCTTGGTGCTTGCAGTGGCTTGTGAAATTTAACTCCAGCAAAACTATTTACTGTAAATAACTATTGAAATATTATCGACATTCTTATATTAATGAACGGCAACCCTCTCATTGAGTCTTTTTAGGTTTTCTTGGATTATCACTCACTGCTGACCTCTCATGGAAACTTTATACACAATCCATTTCAAAGTTAGCATCTTCTAAGGTTGTTTCTCTTTATTGCGCTAAACATTATCTTACTTCTGATTTCATTTTCTACCTCTATAAACCTATTATTCCATCTTCTATAGAATATTGTTATCATATTTGGGCTGGTTCTTCTAATGATGCTCTTTCTCTTCTAGGTCAAAAAACATTGTAAACGTAGTTAGACCTGCTTTATTTGCCAAATTTAAGCCTCTCTCCCATTGTTATAAGGTTTTTCTTCAAATACTATCATGTTTGCTGCTCAAAGTATTATCTCTAGTTCTATGAATCATCATTCTCGCTTGACTCATCATTCAGCAAAGTTGCATCCTTATACTTTAAACTTTCCTTCATTCTCTAAAAACTTTTATTCATCTAGTTTTTTCCCCACTTTAACTCTCTGGAACTCTCTCCCATCTTCATGTTTTCCTGATTCATACCATCTTCAATTTTTCAAGTCTTCTGTCAACTATTTCCTTGCATTTAAGCTCCATTTTTTTATTTTCTAGTAACTCCCAACTTAATAGCAATTGCTTACAGCATTGTTGGGAGTGAAATTTTTTTTTTTTTTTAAACATCTTCATTTACAACAAGGCTGCAAGCAACCACTAATTAGTGTTGGAAGTTACTGGAAGAGAAAAGATGAAGGTTGTAGAGCAAGATAACAATTGACAGATGACTTAAAAGATTGCAAATTAATTGAATCAGGAAAGCAAGATGAAGGAAGCGAATTCCAAAGAACTGATGTTCGAGGAAAAAAACTAGACGAATAAGAGTTTTTGGAGCACTTAGGAACAGTAGCAGAAAAAGGATGAGATTTAATTGAATGACGAGTAACATGAGAAAGAATTTTAGTAGATGGCACAAGAGACGCTAGCTCTGAGAGAAAAGAAAGAAAGAGAAGCAACATTATGACGATGTGACAGAGGTTGAAGGTTGGCTGCAAGAGCAGGTCCAACTATGTTTACAATGCATTTTTGCACCTTGTCTAAAAGAGAAAGGGCATCATTAAAAGATCCGCCCCATATGGCAACAGTATTCCATACAAGGTCGGATTTGAGATTTATAGAGATAGAGAATAGAATCCAGAGTAAGAAAGTGTCGAGGTCCATAAAGAGATGCAACTTTAGCAGATACTAATTTTGCAACGGATTTGATATAAGGTTTCCAAGAAAGATCAGAAGTGAGAGTTAATCCTAGAAGATGAAGAGTAGATGACTCATCGAGTACATTACCATTCATAAATATAGGAAGGTCTCAATTATTGCAATAACGATTGGCTGAAAAAAATTGAGTTTCATCTGAATTAAAGTTCACCAGCCACTGTGAGCCCCATGCTGTAGCAGAAGTGAGATCCTTTTCAAGCTCAAACGCCCCCTACAAGCAATCAGAGGGAGTTGGCTTCTTATCGTGACAAGAATAAATGGTAGTATCATCAGCGAACAATGCCACCTTAGATGTGAGAATATCTGGAAGATTGTTAATGTAAATTAAAAAGAGTATAGGGCCAAGGATTGAACCTTGAGGAACCCATGAGGTTACAGAATAAGAAGAAGAGTGTTGTCCATCAAGAACAACTTTTATACTACGATTGGAAAGAAAGGATTCAATAATCTTAAAGATGTTTCCAGATACACCGTAAGAAGAAAGCTTATGGAGAAGACCAGCATGCCAAACTTTATTAAATGAAATGTCAAGAGCAACGGCCTTAACCTCTCCACCTTTGCACGATAAAACCTATGCACGATAAAACCTATTGGTTATTACTGTTAGCAAATCAGCCGTAGAACGAGAAGATCGAAATCCATATTGATGATCAGAAAGTAGGTTATGAGATTCAAGGTGAGAGTTGAAAAAAAGAGAATTAAAAAAAAAGACATAACAAACAAGCCATGGACTCAAAACAAACATTAAATTCTAAAGAAACACTGATACTACTTTAAAATAAACAAAAACAACTTGATAAACCAATCAAGTCCAATAATAAATTTAAATAATGATGTTTCAATATATAAGTGACTAGATTTTTTAAAATTATTTGTTTGCATAAAATTTTTTATTTTTATTGACTATAGTTTTTTATGTTTAAATTTGTCACAAAATTACTGCTGACTATTACTGATGAAATCATACATGGATCTAAATTACTGCTGACTATTACTGATGAAATCATACATGGATCTAAATTACTGCTGACTATTGCTGATGAAATCATACATGGATCTAAATTACTGCTGACTATTACTGATAAAATCATACATGGATCTAAATTACTGCTGACTATTACTGATGAAATCATACATGGATCTAAATTACTTCTGAATATTACTGATGAAATCATACATGGATCTAAATTACTGTTGATTTAAGTCAATACTGTACTAATATAATTAGCTAATTTTATTTTTCAAATGTTAACATTATTCCAGACATTTTTGAAGACAAAGAAGTAAAAAAATAATATAATAAATAAATGGCAATACAAAATAATATAATAAATCAATGGCAATGATCAAAATCAATACAAAATGATTAAAGTTGGCTAAGACAATAAAACTAGATAATCCAGATAAATTATTTTAGAAATACCTTCATCATATTACTGACATCTTTTATATTATTCTTAATCAGATAATTCTTTACATCTATGAAATTTACAAAGCTGAAAAAAATAAAAGATTTAATTGAAGTTAATTTATATATATATATATATATATATATATATATATATATATATATATATATATATATATATATATATATATATATATATTTATATATATATATTTATATATATATATTTATATATATATATTTATATATATATATATATATATATATATATATTTATATATATATATATATATATATATATATATATATATATATATATATATATATATATATATTTAAATAAATTTTTATTTATTATTCCATTAACTAAAACTCATTATGAGCTGTCATTCAGCAAAGTCTCATTATTTTAATGTTACTGCTTCATGTTCAAAAAAATTTTAATCATCCAGTTTTTTTTTTCAAGTAATGATGCTATAAAATTTTCTCTCATTTTAAATCTTTCCTGACCTATTCAACAGCTTTTTAAGTCTTTTAAGCCTGTTTTCTTGCTCTTCAACTCTTAACTATGAGCAAGCTAACTGCTAACCTATATAGTGGTTAAAAAAATGTGTTACAGTATATACCTGTGATGGTCTACAGTAAAATTTGTCACAGTATATACCTGTAATGGCCTACAACAAAATTTGTCACAGTATATACCTGTAATGGTCTACAACAAAATTTGTCACAGTATATACCTGTAATGGTTTACAACAAAATTTGTCACAGTATATACCTGTTAATTGACAACAAAACCAATATAGATGCTTTTTTATTATTATAAATATTCATAGCAATATAAGGCCCAGGGGTCCACTATTGTAAAGATGGTTTTTACTTTGTTTGTTCAACTGCAAAGCAAAGTTTTTCCTTAAAAAGTTGTAGCATCTTAAATCTGAAACAATTGCCTTTTACCCATATGTACCATAGTAGCATAGTACAATACTACCCAGGGCACAGTACCCATGTGTACCATAGTAATATTCTACATATGGCTTAATCAAGGTCAAGTTTACCCTGTGTCTCTTTTTTCTTTTATGTAAGTTTTTAGTTAATCTACAACCCTGAGACTGTGTAATAACAATTTGACAATATCTGATAATTTTTGATTCCCAAAAAACTCCCCAAAAAAATACTTGCAGCATATAGAAAGAATAACTTATTTTTATAATTTTTTCTGGATTCTGGACCTCCAAACTTCAAACTTTTCAGTTTAAGCTTTTTTTTCTTCTTTTATCATAAATTTTATTTATACATAAATATATTATAATGTTAAATGCTACTAAATCAATTAATAAATATAATAAATATTATTAAATTACAGTATAATATAATATTACAACTAAGTTTTAATGTTCGAGTAAGTAATTATAGTAATTTGAGTTTATTCCTAAATCAAAATTTAACAAGATAAACTATCATGTATCGATAAAATTTTAATTGTAAACTCTGATGAAGTGGTGCAGCACCAGGCATCACTGAGGTGATGTAATAAGTGTGTCCATCCTTAGGTGATGTAATAAGTGTGTCCTGATCAAATTGAACCAACATTTTAAAAAGTTAACATTTTGAAAAGTTTTTTAAAAATGTTAGTTGAGTTTGAGCCCGCTCCAGTTAAATAATTGTCCCATACTTGGCAGATTTTCACAATTTGCTGTGCTAGTTGTTGATTATGTCCACGCAGATTATACTCTTATACTGGTTGCGTATATACTTGCGGAACTATGAAGTACACTTTTTCTATTTCGTTTCCCATTTTATACTGCTGAATCAGGTCACCCCTTTTTGTCACTCTTCTATAGTGTTAAAATGGAGCATGGCGAGGCAAGTAACACATTCAAGTATTTTTACATAACTTTTTAGGTGAGGAGACTTGTATGGCATGTCAAGATGAGGTCTAAAGTATGTTTTGTAGAGTACCCTCCAAAACATTATTCCTCTAGTGCGAAACAAGTCACATTTAAAAATTGTTGTTTTAAGTTCTGTTCGATTGTTGTCAAGCGTTAAGCATACATGTATTGAAGAGAGTTCAATGGAATAAAGGATTAAAAAAACAGAATTAAAAAAACAAAAGGTTAAAAAACATGAGTAACTTCTTAGATTATTTAACTTCATGATCAATGTCTAGTTTTAGTTTTATTGCATTATCTGTTTTGATGACCCCTAAGATCTTACTATCATTAGTGTAGATCTTCATATGATGTGCCATGTTGTCTGAAAGGTTGCTTATATAAAAAAGAAATAGAAGTGGACGTAACACCTTGCAGAACTCCGATAGTAACATTTACCTATTCAGACTTGCTGATAACCACTCTCTATTTTCATTTTTTTAACCAGTCACTTATTCACTCAAGGAGTGCACCTTGTATACCATATACTTCAAGTTTGAGAAGAAGATTTGTTGAGGTATTTTGTCAAAAGCTTTAGCAAAGTCTGTGTAAATCGTATCTATGGCATAATTATGAAATAGCGCTTCTGTCAAGATGTCAGGAGCCATTAGTAGATTAGTTGTACAGCGGCGTCTTGGAAGAAACCCATGTTGAGATTTTGTAAAAAAACCTATTTTCAAGGCAAATCTTCACGACTCTTTAGTGTATAAAACTTTCCATTATCTTGCAAGGTACTGATGTGAGAGAAACTGGCCTGTAGTTCAAGCATTTCCTTTGGCTTCCATTTTTAAATACAGGAGTCACATTTGATAGCTTTCATAGGAACTCTGCCTTCTGCCAACCTTGAATAACACATAGATGTATGGTATCAAAATTTTTTGAATATGTCTCAATGAGCTCTTCTAACTTTTCCTGAACAGACTAGTTGTTAATTCTGCTTTATTCAGAACACATTTGTAACTTTCTTGCTCAAAACTTTTTTTCTTTCTAAATATTTATTTATTAACCTGAATTCAACTCATCTCTACAAAAGTGTTACATCCATTTATATCAAATAACTATCCACCAAAATCATCATTACAAAAACCACTAAACACATAATTACAACTACTTTTAAATAATTTTAAACTGCTAACAAAAAGAAACCACGCAACTGTCATAGAATGTTCTTGAACTTTCTGAACCAAACTTACACTCCTCCTCGGTCCTTAAGGATCATACAAATAATAATTGTCGTATTTTTGGGGCATGCGTCATTCTCGAATATTTCGTGGCAACGGCACTTCTGTTTCTTGGAATCCATTTTCGGCTTCACCATTCGTTTGTAGTACAGCTTTTTGACTCATCTCCGACTTTTAATTTGCACAATATGGTTTTCCACATTATTATGACCACTGTCTGTGTTCATTTCTACTTTAACTTAAGGAATATTGCATGTTCGAGTGTAATTTCGATATCGGATATGTTTTATGTGACGCAGGACTCCATTAACTTCTACAACTTTCAAAATATTTCCAGTTAGTTTTACCTTGCATAAATCAATAATTGCTGGTTTGTTTCCTATTCTTCTCCATTTCCTCAGCCTCTCAACACACACATCTGCATCTCTTGTATATGTCTCGATAAAACTGTTAGGTTCTCTCTAGTCCAAAACTGAGGAATCTCTTTGGCCATTCCAAACAGTGGTTATTTGTAACAAAAGGTATTGTTTGACACGGCTTGGTTTTGGATTGAATGTTGCTTCAATGATCATGAAATCTGTTGAGTGCCATTATTGATCAAGACATATTGGAAAAGCATGGCCATAGATACCAAGCATTTTGGCGCAGAAATATTTCTAACTCTAATTGATTATGGACTTTCAAGATACGCCCTGTAGTGACAACATGCGAGTTCATACGGAAATATTGCTATCACTCAAATATTATGCCTTATCTGAGGAGGAGTGTAAGTTTGAGTAACATAACATCAAATGGATCCATAACAGCTCGAAATCTTGATGATAAATCCTGGGGCAATCCAACAACAAACACTAATTGCACAGACTCTTTTGACAATTTAGCAAGATAAACCAATCGTTTCAAGTCAGCCAAAAACACTTCAACTTTCTCTCCAGCACTTAATTTTCATTTAACAAAAAGTTCATATGCCGTATAAGCATCTACAGAAAATGCTGCAAACAAGACACGCTTGACTTCTTTATCTTGCTTATTTTTGTATACTAAATAAGCAAATCCTCTTAGAAGAACTGGAAAGGGTAACTTCAATTTTACATTCTGCTTTTCTGCAATCACTTTGGTTTGCTGTATCCAAACAGCAGCATCATTTTAAACATATCCAATAATTTAATAATTGAATCCATGCCCAATTATCAACAACAAATACAGACTGGAAATTTATATTAAATGAAAGAAAAATTTAATGACTGTCTGTTCTAAGATTCCATTGTTGCCTTCCAGTGACTTTATTCCATTTGCTATTTTTTCCTGTTTGACTAAGTTATGAAGATGTTTTGAATTGATTTTGAAACAGTTTGTAATTTCATTTTTGTACCTAACAACTGCTAATTTTACAATCTTAATGTATAATCTTAATCTGTCTTATGCTCTTCTTGATTCTCTGTGTGAGCCCACCTACCAGCTGCAAGATATTCATGCCAAAAATTTATTTTCCACTGCTTTTCAACTTCTGGTGTATTCCATAGTTATTTTTGTTGCTTGAACAGTGTTTTAGTTAAAGGTATGTGTAGGGTAACCACCTCTTTGATTTTGTCAAAGAGGTAGTTACCATACACATTCTTACATTTCTGCCATCTCTTTATCAATTCTCACAATTAGTTCTCATTTGGCTTCATTTAACAAACAAGGATTTTTTGTCCAGAAGTTAAGTTCTCTATATGGATTATTATTTGGTTTTTTATTTTTGTTCGATTTTAGATGATTTAGTTGGCTTAAGCGTAGATGGTTTGATTTACGGACAACCAACAATGGTCAATGGTTTTGGTAAGGAGTTAAAGATTGTTTTAATTGATTATTGTTGCTGCTTTTTAATTTGATCTATATGTTTTTTGCTAATCCAAACACACTTTTAGTTATTGTAAGATTAGGCTGTTTCAATGCAGTGCACAGATCTGGTCTGTTTGCCGATGATCCATCAACAGACTTTGTTCAGGTTAGCTTTCTAAAGAACTTCATTCTTTTCATTATATAGTTTATTAAAAGCTTTTCGCTCTGCAGCTGTTTGGTCATCTTGAGTGTATATTCTTCCGAACGCTTCCTCAATAAGACACTCAATGAAACAATGAGATGATCTAGCAAAAATTGTAGATCTATTGATTTGAACACAACTTGTATTACACGATTGGATCTTGGTCGTTCTGGTCCATGTTCTGGTGATTGCTTGATCCATTGTTTTTTTTTGTAACAACGAATGTGAACAACTTCCTCATGGTTTATGAATAAATTGAGTTGATTACTTTAAAAAACTCTTTTACAAGATCTTCATCGCTTTTATTTTCGAACTCTATGACTGCTATATTCGGACCTATGACTGCTATATTCGACTACTTTTTGACTTTATTTTAATTCTCTTTCCTAATTTTTATTTCAGTTACGACCAGGTTAACATAAGTGCTTTGCTTTTTTATTTTGAGTTACGAATATATGGCTGATGTTGTAGGTTTAATGGTTACACCATTAATTTGGTCTCTAAAATCATTGATTACTTTGTCATGCTGCTGATGTCATGCTGCTGTTTGATTTGTCATGCTGCTGTTTATTAACACAGAGAATAAAAAGATTCAGTTTGTATTTTTTTCTTTATTAACACAAATAGAACAAATTTATTTGTTTTTTTTTTCAATTAAAAAAAAAATTATACAAAAATGTTAATTATTAAAAAAAATTAATTAAAATTGTAAGTAAAAAATAAATACATTTAATTTCTCACTAATTTCTTTCAACAACTATCAAAAAATTTATACTTTTAAAAATGGTAGTAATGCAAATAAAGATATTTTCGAAAGAAATGAGTGATTCTTTTTTTTAAATTTTCCTCGTTTTTTGATAATACACTGATTATTAAAAATCATTAAAGAAACCATAGTAATAAACAAAATTTATAAATTTTTGAAAAAATTTTAGTTTATGGTGTAATTTTATAAATATTGATTTCATGGTTTTTTGATTTAGAATTAATTATTTAACTATTTATTGCTCATTTTAATTTGAAAATTATTTAGCTAACTTTATTTAGTTAATTGCTTATTTTAACTTAGAAATTAAATAACTATTTATTGCTCATATTTATTAAGACTTTTTTTGAACAAAAATTTTTTATTTACATATCAAGGCCATGGTAGGAAGCGAGAGCTTTAGGACTCTTTCGCAAAACGGCTTTTGCAAAACTATAATTTTTCTCTCAAAAGATTAATTATTATTGTAACTAAAATGAAAAACACAAATTCATTTTTATATTAAAAAAATTAATTGCATAATAAGCTGCAATAACTTTTAAAATGCACAGTTGTTGCAAAAAAATTAAAAAAGAGTGCCAATTTAAATGCAAATATTTTTGATTAGATTGGACTATTTAAAAAATCTAAATTATATTGATAAAATATTAAATTATTTATCTGATAAAAAATAAAATTATTACATTCTAAATTATTGCATAACAATTTTTATTTTATGTAATAAGTTATATACTTTATATTTTATTTGCTTTAATATATTATTCACTTTTTTTGTGGAATTTTTAACTGATGTAATAATTTTTAAAATGTCTGGATTCAATTACAATAAGAAAATAAAAAACATATTTTTAATGCAGTTTTGTATAAAAACTTATAGCTCTTTGTAAAATTTTTCGTCAAAGAAATTTTAATAAATTAATTAATAAATAAGTTAATAAAGAAATGGATAGCTAGTGTGAAAACAGGAAGACAATACTTGTCTAAAGAATACTTTCACAGCGCAATAAATGATGCTTGTTATGTATATATTCTTGTAACATTAACGTTGTAAACATATGCTTGAAATAAGTATAAAATTAAATAGCTCTTGCAAAAACCAAAAGCTCTCATAAGAAGCTGTTTAGAGGAGCGGCTTGCATGGCTCACCATGTTCGTTTTAGGAGAGCTTTTTACTGCTCTTGCACTCATTTACTCCCGTAGAGGCCTGCAGATGACACAAAAGGCCTCCCGCAGAGGCCTGCAGATGACACAAAAGCATGTTGTTATGATATGCAGAGGCCTGCATATCATAACAACAAATATTTACATTTACATTGAGAAAAAAACAACAACAAAAAACACAATATCAATTGCACATACAATATTTACTTTATAAATATATACATTAAAAAACAAAGTAAAAAACACTCACCCAGTGTCCTCAGGATCAAAAAGCAGAGCAAAGTCTGATTATAAAAAAAGTCATAAAATTAAAAACTAAAATGATTTTTTATTGTTCAAATTTTATTTTTTAATAATAATAAATTTTTAAGAGCAAAAATAAGATATAAAAAACAAAAAATTATAAGAAACATTTCGAAGTTTGAAAAATGATAAATTAAATTAAAGAAAAGCAAAAACAAAAAACAGAAAAAAATTGATTAAAAATTAAAAATAAAAATTAAAACAAGAAAACAAAAAGGCTTTTACATAAAACATAAACTTGATAAAAAAGAAAAAAAAATCAAGAAAAAAAAAAAAGAAAACAAGATTAATCATTATTTTTTAATTTATAAAAAACATTACCCTGATACTTTTGAACTTCCTTTTCTTGGTTTAACCATTGGTTCTACAATTATTATTATTTTGTATTATTAGTAAAAATAAAATAAACTAACAAGTAAAAATAAAATATTAAGTAAAATTAAAAAAAATAAAAATAAAATAATAAATAAGTAAAAACAAATCAGATTAATAAGTAAAAAAAAAATAGATATATAAAAATAAAACATTAATTTATAAACCCAAAATACAGCTTCAAAAATTGCTTGAAATCATTTTTTCTTTTTTCTATCTATTTAAACCACTTTAGGGCAAAGTACCTAAATATTGATCCGGTTTTATTAAGAGCCAAACTTTGGTTCTGCTTTATTGTATTAATATATTAAGCAAGATATTTATCTAATTTAATAATATAACGTGTTTCCTTAACATATTTATATATATATATATATATATATATATATATATATATATATATATATATATATATATATATATATATATATATATATATATATATATATATATAATACATATATAATCGTATATAATAATATATAACGTGTTTCCTTAACATATTTATATATAACATATTTATATAATAATAATCGTGTTTCCTTAACATATTTATGTTTTATTATAAATATGATAAATTATTTTAATTTCTTTAAATTAAAGCTAATTAAGCTACTATAAATGTATCTATCAGTAACCTACAAATGTATCTATCTATCTATAATAACCTATAAATATATCTATCTATCAGTATACTATAAATGTATTTATCAATATTAATTATTAAAAAATATTATTTTTTATCAAGGCTAGTATAAGGAAATATAGGATACTAAAAGTACTAATTTTATATTTTTTCAACCAACATAGGAGACGCATTTGATGCCGTGCTATACATCGCAGAGGGGAAATACTTACTTTTCTGAAAAATTTAATTCTTTTTTGTTAAAAAAGTTTTGTAACCAAAACAAGTTAGTATTAATTAATTAAAAATTGTTTATTTTAAACTTTTTAAATTTTTTTGATTCAAAAGACATACAAAAGTTATCTAAGAATTCTAACTCAATTCAAAAAAGATACAAAAGTTATCTACGAATCCTAAATTGATTCAAAAGAGAAAAGTCAAACCAGTTAGCAAACTATTAAAAGTATTTCTTCAGAACTTGTATTTATAACTTTTAATTAGTATAAGAAAACTATTACTCGTAATTTTATAGATGTTTTTTATCAGCATATTGAGAAAAATACAATATATATTAAAGCAATACCACTGACAAATATTTTGTTATATGCAAGTTATAACTCTACAACAGATGATATAACAACTAATGCTATTTTTTATTTAAAAACTTATTTTTGGCTTCAGGCTATATAGTAGTGATAAAAAAATTTCTTTGATTTTTTAAACGATTTTTTTATTTTTGTTTTACCTGTTTTACCATTTTTATTTTAATAGGCCAGTCTTGATTTGAACAACAAAAAAACACTATGTTCAAGTACTAATAAATACCAAGAAAAAAATATTTAATAGCCAAGTATACTAAAAAAATAAAAAGTATATTTAGATATACTCTATTTTGTTGAAATGTTTTTTCTTGGTTTATTGTAGTATATAGTGATTCCAAGTTCATTATTAGACTACATTTATCTGTCAGGATAATACTTTTAATTATCTAAGCATTCTTAGATATATCCATTTAAAGCATTGTAGGTGGCTTTCAATAGGTACCGCTTCATTAGATACTGACTTCTATTTGGTCTATCCAGTCATTAATTGGTGCAAAACCAAAATCTCTGTTTAAATACATTTTTCTATTAATGAAGCAAAAGACTGACAACGTTTTTCTTAAGATAAGACAATGGTTTTCTTAAGACATTAACAACCTAATATAAAGATTTTTAAAAATTGTTCTGTTATATTAAGATATTCTTCTGGAGTATTAAATTAAAATTTTGGCCATTAATTTTAACACATTTTGCCCTAAATGTGTTAAAATGTTATAATTGAATTTAACATATGTATGCAACTTATACAAAAGTAAGTATTGAAGTAACAAAGATTTTTTTGGTTACAATAAATTTTTTTTAACAGAACTTGAATGTTTATAAGAGATCAAGAAAGCTCAGAAAATTTATTAAAATTAAAGAGTTTTAGAGATGTCAAGGTCAATCGCACCTATATGAAATGATCAGAAACACCAAAAAAAAAATAATAATAAAGCAAAAAATAAGCACAGGGTAGGATCAAAAACAAAACAAAGAGTAACAATATTTAATTTTAGTCGCAAATCAGGGATGCGGAGTTCCAAAAAGGACTCCAAATTTGAAAACCACTAAAAGATTACTTCTTTCTAGTTTTTGGTACCTAGGAGCTTTAAAAATTAAAAGCTTATGAACTACTAATGGGGAAAAAATCAAGACTTATAGGTCAGAAGAACATTTAATTTTTGAACCCAGAGTCCTTAGGTATAATGGCGGCAAGAACTATGGGATTCCAGGCTTAAAATAATTTAAAAATAAGTTCCAAGTCATTAAATATCATTAATTTTTATCAACATCAATCAATTATTCATTAATCATTAATCAACAAACCTGTTTAGAACTTATACAATATAATATATATATATATATATATATATATATATATATATATATATATATATATATATATATATATATATATATATATATATATATATATATATATATATATATGTATATATATATATATATATATATATATATATATATATATATATATATATATATATATATATATATATATATATATATATATATACATATATCATAGATGAGTATTTAACTTTATGAAAATCCCGTAAAATTCCGGGAAAGTATTTTGTTAAAAATTGATTATATTAAGTGAAAACAAAAACTTTCGTAAACTATTAAAACGGATTTTAGATTTTTTAACTTTTTACAAAAACAAATTTCTAATATTTGAAAAAAATTAATTTGAATAAATTAAAAAAAAAAAAAAATAAAGAAATAAAATTGTTACGAAAATTGATCTCGTGAAAATTTTAACTATAGAAAACATATTTGTTTAAATGCAAAAGTTGTAGTTTTTAAAATTTTATGTAAAAATTTTTTTTTTAGCTAATAACAAAAAATCAGTCTGGCCAATGGCTATAAATAGAAGTATGGTGACCATTAAAATGTGATGAGCATTATAAATAGTAAAGACCTTGGTCAATATGATCAATTACTAATTGAATAATGAAAAAATTAAAATTCCTCACCCCAAATATTAAAAAAAAAATTTTTTTTAATATTTCTTTAGATTGTGCAAATTCACAAAATTAAATTCTTACTTCCCCATCAGAACTTCTACCTATTTTGTAAATTTTAAAGTTTTTTACTGATTTCAAGAAAAATTTAAAGAAATTAAAGAAAAATTTGTAATTTTTATTTTAAATAATGATGAACAGCTATCAACATTTTTTTTTTCATCATTTTGAAAGATATCAAATCATTCAAACTGTACACAAAATATTCATAATAAAATATTCTTAATATAAGTTATTTGCTCTAAAACTAAAGACAAAAATAATGATGACTGATAATTTGAAGCCTAACCCATGAAAATCAATGATATTTTAAAGTATAACCGATGAAAATCTATGACAGTTTGAAGCCTAATCTGTTAAAATCCATTATTGTTTAAAACGTAATCCATAAAAATATGTAAACCTTGTAATTATAGAAAAATAATTAGTTTAATAAAGTTTTTTAAAAAATACCTTTTTTTTAGAGACAGATTTAAATAAAAATTCTTCTTCTTTATCAATATTCGGGGACGTACTCAAAATCTCCACATTTCTTTCAGATAAAACAGATATTTTGCTTTCAGAGTCTCTTTTAGAGAGACCATGGTTAGACTTTGGCGTTAATGAAAATGATTGTGATCTTGATGAAATAGGGGAACGATGAGAATTACAATTGCTTTTAGATACAAGCAATCCACTTAAAAACTCATTAAAACTAACTAAGCCATCTCCATTAACATCAAGTTCAGCAAATAATAATTCTAGTTCATTATTATCAAGCCCTTCCATTCCGATACTATCACATACAGTAGAAAGTTGGTGTAAGTTTATGTAGCCAGACTCTCCAACAGCAACATCTTGCCAAATTCTCCACAATTCTTCAGCATTTAAATCAACTGAATTTACAAATACATTGAAATTTAAAAAATTTTAAATTTAATCAAAATAATTTATTTACATTAATTAATATAACAATTATATACATAAACTGTAGAAAATCTTACCATCACTGCCAAGAATGGCTTCAATATCAATTGATGTTTCACTTTTCCTGTACTGATCATCATCATTTATTATAGGAAATACCAATGTCTTTGCTGAAAGTCCTGAAACACTATTCTTTTTTCCGTCACGAAATGGGGTGCTTGTTTTGCGTGGCTTTGCATTTCTCGGAGAAACTTTATCCTAAAAAAATTATAACTGATTGTAATATTTAAACTTAATAATATTATATATTTCATTTATAAACTTTGAAAAAACATTGTAAAACTATTTGAATTGCACAATAGGGCCTAACAGAAGAAAAAATGGTCTAAAATCAAAAAAGATGTCAATCCATGTGAATTTCTGAACAATTGAATTTGATATAACTTGTGAGCCAAGCATAAAAAATTAGGATGTCTAATTCAAAGGAGATTTTTCATGTAACTAATGAATTCTATCAAGATGCTGTTGTAAAGCAATAATCATCAAACTTGATTGGATCAATTGGATTTCATAAAAAATACACAGCAAAAAACACAGAAAATGCTAATCTTTGTTTGACCATAGCTAACCAAGGTTTAGCACCATAACCCCTTAACATTTATTAAAAAATAAATAAAATCAAAACTTATTGTTTTTGTAAAAAAATCTAAATGTTAAAAAAGGTGCATTTTTACAAATTTTTAATATCTTTCTTTTTTTTCTTTTAATATATGTTTTTTTTATAGCAATTTTTATATCATTTCATAATTTCTTTAATTTTTAGTGTTATTTTATTACTTAAAATAACACTGGAAATTAAAATATTGTCTTGAATGCTGATTTTATGTTTTTCACTACTTGCTTTTTATTATAATTTAATAAATAACACTACTCTGAAAATAAGTTTTTTTTTTTTTGCTGATTACAATTTAAGACTTGATTTTAGATAATTCAATAATGCTGAAATAAAAAAAAAAAAAACCTTTTTTCATTGTATGATGAGTTTTTACGATAAATGAGATTAAATTAGTTTATACCATACATTTTTATATAGTTTATACCATATTTTTGTGGCTGGTCAGCTAACTAATTTTCATGGCTGGTTAGCTCACTTCATATCACATCATAATAAGAAACGTTAGCTATTTTTTAACTTCTGTTAATACAATTTAAAATTAACTAACAAGTCTTTAACAAACATAAAAAAAAACATTATGTAATCAAAACTGTGAATATAATAAGAAGTAATGCAAAAAGCAAGCATTGTCTTTTAAAAAGTAAATTCATATCAAGATGTCTATTAAAAAATCTCTTAATTTAAAAAATATATGACATAGCTCATACAGCAATAATGGGATAACCATCATAGATAAAACCAACTTCATTCATTCGAGCCAAGTATGAGCTCTTTCCATTCATCTTCTATACTTTTATCTTGACCATAATAATTTATTTTACTATTTTCCTTTGGAAAATTCTTAGCATTCTACTTCCAAAACTACAAAGCTGGTGATTCATCATGAATGTTAAAATAAAGATTGATTTCCGCTTGCAATCCAGTACTATTATCTGGCAATCTTTCCAAACTTGGTGATGATTTAGCAGTCTCATGTGTTAAAGAAAGTCAAAGTTTTTTAAAATTTTGTGATGCACTGGCACCTTTACTGTTCTGATTTATCTCAACAGTTGATGCAGATTAAGTACTCTGGATTCTGCTGAATGTTCTTTTGGTAAAATGTTTGAACCAAATATTGAATTTTTTATTTCATGGTAGCTGTTTTTTAAGAAAGTTTCACATTTTTTCTTTGTTAACACAACATCACAAATTGCTGGAAACAACAGGTTAGTTCAACCAAACTAGTAATAGTCAGCCGTTTTTCAATGAACTGTTCAACTAACTTTTTATATTACTTTATAGCTAAAGAATCTGTTACTTGAGCAATGCAGGAACTTTTAATCTTAGTGACCGTGAGTGAAAGACAAGACAAGTTTGGTGACACCTAACAAATAGAATCAGTTCTCGAAAAAGAGATAAGAAATTTTGCAATTTGCGCAGAAGTTCCAAATCTTCTGGAAAAAAACATAAATCATACCTTCCTATTTTCTATAAGTGTCAATATAAATATATAGATCTTAGATAGATTCAATCGTTTCAAGAGTACTATTCCATCTGGTTGGGACACTATTTGTTAAAGAACTGTGCACATGAGAAATAGGTAACTTTGTGGATGAATGATTCCGTTTTGAGTTTCATTTTCAAAATCCAGAATTGGATGCTCTTCATCAGCAATTAGCTGCTCAACATGACTTAAAGTTTTTTTTTTAAAAATCCTCGTCATTCAGAGTTTCAATTTTCTTTGATAGGATATATCCTTTAAAAAGTAAGGTATTGATTACTTCTTTGCATTTTTGTACCAGTAAATTTAATTCTGTAATTTTTTGTAAGCTATCTGAGGTTAATAGGAGGTAAATTCCATGGGCAGTGCATGTTATATGTTCATGACCTAAAAGCTTGGATAGTCCTATCATATTAGCTGCACCATTAGTTGTATTAAAAAACAAAAAGGTTTTCTCTTGAGAAAGAAATTCTTTTAAAACAGTTTTAACAAACTGATATAGGTGATCAGAAGTGTGGAAATCCACTGGTTGAAGCTCCCATGCTTTGGATGTGGATATATATATATATATATATATATATATATATATATATATATATATATATATATATATATATACATATACATATATATATATATATATATATATATATATATATATATATATATATATATATATATATATATATATATATATATATATATATATATATATATATTCATATAAAGGCTGGTGTTGTAAAAAATATTGACCTTTAGTTGGGTTAGATATCTTCATTTCTAATTTCACACAAACTTTTTTTTTATATGTAAAGTTAATAAAGGCTAAATTTTTTATAATATAGTTATAATATACAATCTATTGATTTCGAACTGCAAATGACACATTAAAATTATTACTTGGGATTTACCGCATTGCCAAATATATAACAATAACAAAAAAATGGGATATTATAAACTAATTTAACAATAAAATGATATATATAATTTATTATTTATTTAGTTATGGAGCTGGATATGTCACTACTTATTTTCATATTGGCTAAAGATACTTTCATGATTGGCTAAAAATAAATCAAATTTAGGCGGCGACTTGCGGGTCTATGTCGCAGTGCAGATTATATTAAAATTTCTATATTTTATGCTAATGCATATTAACTATTATTGTTGTGTAATAATTATTACAACATTATTTTTATTCAATAATTATATTATTGTTAATACTATTGAAGATATGTTGGCTATATCATTGACTCATAAAACCATAGATATGTATATTAATCAACTAAAATTTAAATCAATTTATAAAATGTCAACTCTAATGAAAAATTCTTTTAAATAATTCCTCATCTTTCAGAGTTTCAATTTCCTTAGACAGCATATATCCTTTAAAATATAAGGTATTAATTACTTCTTTGCGCTTTTGTACCAGTAAACTTAATTCTGTAATTTTTTGTAAACTATCTGAATTCAGTGATAAAGATGATTTTTTTTTTGATTTTTTTGTTTTTAATTTTTTAAAAGTTTTTATGTTGTAAAAAATCAATATTGCTGTTTTTATTTTGTTATTGCTGTTTCAGATATTAAAAATTAATAACAAGTGGAGGACAAAGAACACAAAAAGAAAACTTATTTTTGATTTTACTGTTTGTCAGGAGGAACATTAAAAAAAACTTCTGTTTTTCAAAGCTTTAGTGAAGATTTTTTTTTGGTACATCTACATAAAAATATATATCTCATATCCTTTAAAAACACGAGTTTTTTAAAAACACGAGTGCATTTTGGGTATGTTCCTTAACTAGTTTTTAAAAGTGTCTCATTTTTCAGATTGTAAAAACAAGTTTGTGACAAATTGGAAAAACTAATATTATGTTTAAGGCAAAGGTACTCCTATTGTGACCCAAGGCAATAGATTATTACCAAAGAATAAGAGAAATACCACTGAAGGAGCTAGATGAAAAAGGTTTTTATCAGTTAGAATGTTAGAATAGGTTCACCCATCATATAAGTTTGCAATGCTTGCTTAAGCAACAGTAAATTTATTGCTAGCAATCCTAAAGCTGAATCAATAGAAGAGAGATGAATCAGAAAATTCAAACCAAATGTCAAAAGGTAAAGGAAAATTGCTCCGTTCAAAATCTCAAGTCTACAACAAATAAGTTTATGTACTTTGCTGATGTGAAGACGTTAAACTTTGAAAAGTTGAGTTTACAGAGACTGGGAAAAAAAATATTAAAAGTTGCTTAATGATCAAGAATTCTTCCTTAGAATGAACAGTATCCCAAATTCTGATGATGCCATCGCAAATGATGTCAAATAGAAGGTTTTGTTATGGATATAAATAATATTAATAAAACTTATATATAATACTTATATATAAAACTTATATATAAAACTTATATATAAGTAATAACTTAATTGGAAATAAAGACCAGACTGAGGTAAATTATAAATGTCACTTAAAGAAACTCTACAAGATAATGTGTCAAGAATAATTTTTTCAAGACCTCTGTGCCGTAGTCCAAACATCTTTGCTCAGGCAAATACCAACCAAAGGCGGTTAATACCTTTAAAAATAATCTGAATGATTATAACACAAACTTCCAGGCAGCAAAAATAACTCCAAAAGAAGTCTGCAAATAAGAAAATGGAAGTTTGGTGGAAATTTCACTGGTTTTGATACTCTAATGTCCTTATTTTCTTTGCTAAGGTGGGTGATACTTGGACCAAAACAAAATGTAGACTCAAGTTAACTTAAAAAAAAATCTATTTAATCCGTTGATAACATTTCACAAATTATTGTAAAGACAGCAAAAAGCAAGGATCAAATCTCACATTGCTCAAAAATGGAAAACGATTTCAGAGATGTCACTGAAACACCTTTTTCAGTTGGACACAGATTACATGTGCATAAAGAAACCCGTAATAAAAAGCTGGTGGACTGCTTGGCATATCTTAGACTTTCTATTTCCTATGAGTTTAAAGATTAAAAATGGTTTAGAAAACACTATTATTGAAAACATGTCAACAAATGCATGTTTGTACTTCCTAATATTCAAATCCACTTTGCACTTTGCTATTGATAATATAGATTTTAAATATAACACTGCTGACGGAAACTTTGAATTTAATGAATCCGCATATGCTGCACTTCAAAACAATTCCAATGCTAAAAGAGAGATGCTCAAGATACTGTGTACTAAGTATCTTACATTTGAACTTGCAAATGTCCATCCAATCATCCACTACTTCTATGTTGATGCATTTGGTATCAATTTCAACAAAAATCAGTATCAATTTCAACATTTCAAAATTGGTATCAATTTCAACATTTGATATCAATTTCAACAAAAATCAGGTGGTTTTTAATCTTGCATCCAAAACTATTTTACCAAAAGAAGTAGCAGATAAATTATTTTATCATAGAAAGATTGAAGAAGAGCTCTACTGTTCTTTAATACTGGAAGGTTAAAAGGAGACATATCTATATGGTCGCCATTAAAGATAGGAAATCTGAAAACATTTCAAAATTAAGATAAAGTTGAAAAAAAAAAAAGATTGGTAAAAAAGTAATTTAACTAAAAAAAGAGAGCATCTTATTATGGAATAGCTGCACTATCAAATCTTTATCAATTGAAAGCTTTACCTGATTTATTTACAATTAATAATATCAAATGTTTTGTTGTTAGAGTCTAGGGGAATAAAAAACAGACAGAAGATGTCGATACTCTTTTATAACTTTGTTGGTTACTTTTCTCTAAATTTCAGTATGACGCTGAACAACTTTCAGCAACAATGAATTTCCTTAAGCTCCATATATTTGTATGTTTAGTGCTTTACATGCTTGTAAAGTATATACAATCGACTGTGGAGTATTGTTGAGAATTAAACAACAGATCTTTTGACCCCATAATGACTGATAACTTGCCAGCACCAATAGCACCTATTGAGTTTAAATACTAGCTTGTAAGCATGTTACTTTTTACATATATTTCCAAAATTTAGAAGGTTTTTAAATCTAAGAATAAAATCTTAGGATATTAGAAGATTTTCATTAAATAAATGTCAATAATTCCATTTATATTACAAGATTTATTCCATTTATATTACAAGGACTTAATACCATCAATTAAATATTTTCTGGGGGTCCTTTCTTCTCTTGTAAAAAATTGTAAATTGTAAATACCATTTTGTTTTACATATATAAATGTTTTTATGTTTATACAATGCGCATTTTTTAATATATGGTACCAGCTAAATCATTTGAATTTTACTTTATTTACAAAAGATGTTTTATCTAGTGATACCTTCTTTAATTGGTTTGGTAAAATGCATAACACCCTATATCTTAAGAAGTAAAAACTTTCAACACATGTTTTTTATACGATTTTGAAAGCTTATTTAATGCTCTTTTTACTAATACAAAATAGTTAAAAAACAATAATTAAAATTTTTATTGCTATGGGAGCCTAAAACATCATACCGCATGACACAAAACATAAAAATTAAGTGACACCTTTCACTTTTTAAATCCTTTTCATACAAGGATCTCAAATAAACATAAAGTTTGCTTGTAACATATATGTGCACATAAAGTGTGCACATATATGTTACAAGCTACCATGTTTTTGAAACATGGTGGCCTGCACTTCAACAACAAAAATTAAAATTAAACAAAAAATATTTTATTTGAAAAATTATTGAAAAACGCAGTGCAGGTCAGAATTAGTTTAAATCGCAAATGATTAAGTTATAGTTAAATACGTTAAATACTAAAAACGCTTTAAAAATACAAAATTTTATTAAAATCTATAAAAATTAATTAATATTATTACACAATTGGATTATATATATTTTTAAGCAAACACCTTAGTGCTTGAGAACCCTGGTTTCATGCAAAAAAAAAAAAAAATTAATGATAATTTTTATTTAACAGAAACAAAGGTTTATTCTATTAATTAGTTATTAATGAAAAATTGTGATTACTTAAAACTCTTAAATAACAATATATAACAAACAAAAACAAATTTGTTGAAGTCATTTCAAAACAATCAGAGACTATCACTAGCATTATAAAGGCACTGTTTAGTTGCTACTTTTAGTATACTTTATTTATGTTTTTAACTGTATTTTGTAATAGAATAATTTTTATTATCTAAAAATATTTTTGGCTTAGCAAAGAAATTTTCTAAATCTCACCATTTTTGTTTAACACTTAGCAACCAACTTAGTTATTTGATTATCTTAGTTATCAAGTAATTCTTAAATACTGTGAAAAAGAAAGCTGGGTAAAAAGTAATGAAACCAGGGTGAAAAATAGTTTTCCAAGGATGACAAACTGTGATGAGAAAAAAATATATACAAATTAGTTATAAAAAGCTAGCACACCAGCCTGATAATTAGCTTTCACCCGGTACTTTTTATGTGCTCCAGAAAATTGCGAATGCAGACATCTTTTTGATGGATTATTTCATTATCTTTACACTGATATATGAACAAGTTTGTTTTTAAAAAAAATATATCAACTATTGATTATTAAGCTACAAAATTATTTTAACAAAAAATTCTTCCAACATAGGTTTGAGTTTAATGTTTACTCCAAATCAAACATTAAAAAAAAAAAAAATCGAACTTATCAGTTTTAGATGTAGCAACATACCAGCCGTCAAATAAGCTTTAAAGTCCTTTTGATTTGTTAATAACATTTTTAAAAAGTTAAAAGAAAAAGTCTTAAAAATGTATGTAAAAAATAAAATATGTATAAAAAAGTTAAAAATGCATATGAAAAAATAAAATTACCTGAACATTATTTTTTTTTTGGGAAAAAACATTTGAGTCTTGAAACTTCAACGGTTTTTCATTTTTTAAAGATTTATTATTTTCCTGGAATGAAATTTCTCTTTCAGAGTCACCTGAAAATGTTACAAAAAAATAAGTTAAGTAAACAGCAGTAAACATGTTATCAATAATTATAAAGGCCAAAAAACTATATATATGGTATAATCATTATAAAGTATATATATGGTATAATAGTTATAATATATGGTATAATAATTATAATATACTAGCAGTAAGCAACCCATAATACGCGTTGTTAGTAAATAAAATTAAAAAAAAAAACCACGTATAGAAAAGCCTAGAAATTACTTTAAAATAGAAAAGCCCAGAAAATGACGTAACTCGACTAATAATATTAAATTAGCGTATTCATATTATCAGATATATGGTATACATATATAATATAACATATATATAAATATATACATATATATGTGTGTGTGTGTGTGTGTGTGTGTGTGTGTGTGTGTGTGTGTGTGTGCGTGTGTGTGTGTGTGTGTGATATATATAAAAATGGTGTAATAATGATAATATATGGTATAGTAATTATAATATAGATATATATGGTATAATAATTATATTATTCATATGGTATTATAATTATAAAGTATATATGGTATAATAATTATCAATTCAGAAAAACAACAAAAATAAAAAATATTTTTTTATTCTTCTTATTACTTTAACAAATCACATTTTAGATTTATAGAAACATTTATAATATGGTTGATTGATCAACTGACACATAATGTAACATAATATCAACTTGACTTGAGATCATCTCAAAGTAATACTTTTTATTTACTTCCTTTTTTAAATTTGTAGAAATTTGTAATTGTAAAATCTCATTCAACTATATTGATAATTGAATGAAATTATTGCAAGTCATAACATTTATAAATTATTTGCAAAGTTTTAAAAATCCAAAGAAACTGTAAACTGTATGAGTCAGAAAATCATAAAGACAGATAAGAAATCCCAAGCACAAATGTTTGAAAAAAAGCACTAGATGAATAAAAGTTTTTTGAGTATGAAGGATGTAAATTGGCTGAATTACAAGTCACAGGAGATTTAATTAATGGAACAAGTCACAGGAGATTTAATTGGTGGAACAAGATTGAGCAGCAACCACATATCCGACAACATTTACAATGCATTTTTGATTTTTTCTAGAGTCTTTTTTAACTTGAATAAGGCCTTATTAGAAAAATGACAAATATGACAACAGTATTCTATGCAAGAATGAATAAAATATGAAAACAATATTCCATGCAAAGATGAATAAAAGATTCATTAAGGTAGAGAAAAGATGTTAAAAACGAAAAAAATCACAAATACAAAAGTGTTTGCTATAGTGGCAACCTTAGTAGATGCTAACTTTGCAATGCAATATATTTATGGTTTCCATAGGAGGTTATTAGTACTCATGCAATAATGATTAGCTGTATTGTAATGAAATAAAGAGTAGCTGTAATGACTGAGTTTTGAAATGAGTGTTTGGGTTAAAAGTCACTCCAGCCACCAGCTTTCACAAAAGTGAAATCAGAATCAAAAATGAAAAATCAATTTAGAAGTTTATCAGGAAGATCATTAATATAAATCAGGAACAACGAAGGGAAAAGAATAAAAAAAAGAAATAAAGGAGAGTGTTTGCTATCAATGACACTTTAATAAGGCTGAAAAATGATTCAAAAATTCTAAAATTTTCCTAAATATTCTACATGACGTAAGCTTATGTAGAAGAATGCTTATTTTTATCAAAAGCCTTTGACATATCAATAGCCCTTACCTCATTGCTTCTATCTAATGCACAATAAAACCTCTCCGTTAATAAGTCAGCAGTAAAATGTACATTTTACTGCTGAAGTACACCAAAGTATATATTTTTTATTAAATTTATGACAACAAAAACTACTTATTTAGAATAATTTTTTATGTTATAAATAGAATGTAGTATTACTGTAAATAGAATATGGTGTTACTTTAGGCAACACAATATTTTATCAAAAATAGGATACAGTGATCTTGTAACCTAGACTTATAAACAGAATATAGTTCTACCATAAAAGTAACAAACAGAACAATTTGAAATTTAAGTTTTATATATCATTAAATTTTACATTAAAATTGAAAAATAATTCTTTATAAATATTTGTAAGTAATTTATAAATTGCAGGTAATTTATAACTTACTGTTAGGTGAATAAATAGTCTTATATCTATATTTATATATCTATATACTATAAAGTAATTATAGTGTACATATAAATTAAAAAAATATTCAAACCAGCTTCTAGCTCAGAACATTCGTCTTCTGTCAAATCATTGTATACATTAATTCCTTGAGCTAGTACATTTACAAACCCATCACGAAATTTTTCAAAAGAAACCTAAATTTATAATTATTTATTTATAATATATAACTATTACAAATTAAGATTTATATTCTTTCATATTATTTGTATAACTTTTTATTTTATAACTAATACTTTTTTATTTATAACTAATACTTTTTTCCTTTCATATGATATTGTAAATATGAATTATACGCATAACTATATTGTATTATTAATATAAATCCATATAGTTATTTAAGATAATATAAAAAAAATATAAAATAACAATATAGCAATAAAATATAAAATAACAATATAACAACAAAATATAATAACAATATAATAACAAAATAAATATAATATAAAAAAACAAAACAAAAAATACAACAACAACAACTCAAGGAGCAGAAGAAGGATAGAGGAGCAGACGAAGGATCGAGCGGAAGGATAGGTTATTTAAACTATTGTAAATAAAACTCTTAACTTAATGGCACTGTATCCAGCTCTTATTGCGTATAAAAAAGAAAATCTTATAACAATAATAGTTATTTTTTCCTCTACTAAATAAAAATTTTAAAAAATTGATTAACTATTACTAATTTAATAATAATATACCCAAAAACTATAGTCAGGCAATGTTAATGTTTAACAACAATATTTATCTTTTAAGTTGGTATAAACTTGAACGACAACTTTATCACTTCATTCTATTTTCATTTTGTTCTTAAACATTTACCAATATTCTGTAACCATATGATCTGACTGTTTTATATTTGATGTTATTTCTGATAAAACTGTCTAAGCTCTTTTTTTTTTTTGATTTGCATTGTTGCTTGCAGCAATATTTATACTGATCATGATCATGTCTTGGCTTTAATACCAGTGAGTTTATTGGCTATTATTAATACCAGTGAGTTTATTGGCTATTATTAATACCAGTGAGTTTATTGACTATTATTAATACCAGTGAGTTTATTGGCTATTATTAATACCAGTGAGTTTATTTGCTATTATTAATACCAGTGAGTTTATTGGCAGAAAGGCTTAAAACTTATGCCTTATCCAATTACTAACCCATATAATTTGGTTCTATTTTCTATTTCTAGACAATTACTAATTTTAGCTCCTTAAGTTATTCGTCTCTAATATAAATTTTTGCTCAGTTTTTCCTCATTCATTTAGCTTCTTTGTATTTCCTTTAATTTCTCTTGATATAATCTTTTAAATTCAGCATGGAACTTTGCTTTCTGGTAAATTTTAAATTGAGCCTCACACTTCTTGTTGACTTTTTTAAGCTGTTAAGATTTTAGAAAACCTCTAATTGCATCATTAACTATTTAATAAATAATTATATACTTTTTTGTTTCAACTTCAACTTCATAAATCAGAGGAAAAGCAGAACAAGCTTTAGAGCATTCAACGTGATATACACCAAATTCCACGCCCCAAATAATAAGGATAATAGCAAATGCCATGTAACTCTTAACTATACACATGGATCTTTTTAAAGACAAGTTAGCTAGTATTTGCTTGATTAGGCATTAAAAATGCCAAAACAATAAGCTAAACATATTATACATTCAAAACAATGGATAAACAAGTGAGAAATAAGACTATATTTTAAAACTTAAACTATTTTTTTTTTAAATAATGTTTTGACTGATTTGAAATTTTCAGTTGGGTTATAATAAAATGATTTTATTATAACCCAACTGAAGTTGAGAGAAAATTTAAAGAGTTTAGAGAGTAACAATCAAAATCAATTGTTAAAATTAAATTATTAATAAAAAATATTTTAACTTCTCCTACATATTGTTTGTCAAACCAATTACTTGAAAACCAACTATTATATAAGTTATCTGCATACTGCATATACAGATAACCCATATAAAAAAAGATTGGCATAGATAACTCACCTATTTTGTATGTTTTTTAGAAACCCTTCACAGCTTTTGTACTTATCTACTCCCAGGAAAGTCTAAATTGTTTATTATTAGTTTTGCACATTTATAATTTGTATATTTTATGAATTATCCAAATTTATTACAATCCTAAATAATTTTTTACACTTTATGTTGAAATGCAATTTTAGACACACACACACACACACACACACACACACACACACACACACACACACACACACACACACACACACACATATACACACACGGACATGAATTAACCATAGCAAACAACCATGCACACCATTAAAAACATGATCAATGGCATTTAGTGAAAGGCTAATTATGTGAAGATATAAATATAGATATAAATATAAATAAATTTTATATATATATATATATATATATATATATATATATATATATATATATATATATATATATATATATATATATATATATATATATATATATATATATATATATATATATATATATATATATATATATACGATTCAAAGTATCACAAAGAAAAAAAGTAAAACATACTTCTCCTTCATTAAAAGCATCACCAAGAACTTCTACAAGAAGAGCTGGAATTTGATCATTTAACTGGAGTTTTTGAGCAAGATCAATGAGTTCGTTTCGATTTAAGTAGCCTTTTGACTGAAGATCACAGCTCTCAAAAAGCTCTTTTAATTGATAAACATAAACATCCTCATCATTGTCCATTGTTTATGGCAAAAGACTTGACTCCAAAAATGGAGACTGTTCAAAAACATTCACCATTGATAATTTAAATTTAAATTTTATTACAACTATATTTGTATTTATATGAATCAGTTCATTAAACCTGAAATGGATATCTTGGAAATCAAAATTATATGAAAAAATGTTATAATTGTTTAAAAAATAAAAAATAAAGCTTATTTTAGCTATGACAATGTTATAGCTAAAATTAAATTATTAATAAAAAATATTTTAACTTCTCCTACATATTGTTTATCAAACCAATTATTTGAAAACCAACTATTATATAAGTTATCTGCATACTACTTTTATATCATAGCCTATGATATAAAAAAAAATCAAAAATATTTTTAATATTTTTTTAATATTATTAAATGTCCGTCATTTTTACTTTGTAGTTAAGTTAACGAAATTGAAATTAACGAGTAACTTAGTTAAACAGTAAGTAAATTAAAACTTAAGCAAGTAAATTAAACTTAAAAATAAGGCCAAAACAGACCTTTTTAAATCTCGATTTTAGTAACTGTTTACATTTTATAAATTAGCGCAAATATTTTGGAGCAATTTAGAGAATTTTGGCAATTTAGAGAATTTAAAGTGCTAAATTATTTTCATGGTTGCAATACTTCCCTCGAATACCGTCAATTTTAAAAAATAATTTTTTTTGACAGCTGATTTAACTTTGATAAGATAAACGGTTTTAAATTAGATCGCCGAAAAATCATTTTAAAAGTCATATATATTCAGGGGGCGGTTTTAGACTTTTTTGGTACTTAAGTTAAGCAACATTTAGGTAAGTTTTAAACTTCAAACTTATGTATGCTATAAGAATGTTTTGTCAAAAATTGCGCTAATTCAAGCCTGGCAGCAAAAATAATTTTTAAAGTGAATCGTCTAAATGTAAGGACTTATTATTATTATTATTATTATTATTATTATTATTATTATTATTATTTTAAATCAAATATTTTTTTAACTATGACTAAAATTTATAAATATCTTTATAATTTTATCAAAAAGTATCCACCGTTCAAAATATTATAATCATATAAATTTTAGAAGTTCGTCAAAAAAATTGGTGCAAATTTTGCACTGGTATAACTTTTAAGTATAATAATCTACTTTTAGGAAATTTTAGGTCCATAAATAAAAATTCATTTAGTTTGAAAAACAAGAATTTAAATTTTGCAAAAGTAATATCACTCGTATTTTATGCGTGTGATGCCTACTTTTTAGGATATTTTTGTTCATCAGCGCATTATTTGACAGATTATCTTTATAACATAAGTAACAAATACAAAAGTTTATTTCTTAAAGCTTACCTTAAAGTTACTTAATTCAAATACCAAAAAATCTATTACCCACCCTCTCCCTCCTCCTCCTCTTCTCTCGTTAACTTGTATTATATAGTATATTACATTTTTAATAAATCTACTTAGCTATAAGTTAAGTATTAACCTTTTCTATATATTTTACGAAGCCATTATATTAGCGTTTACAAAATTCATCATAAATTTACAGAAATTTGTAAGGAAACTAACCCAACCATTATTTTACTAATATAATATCTTAAAAGATATTATGTTAATAAAAGTATTTATTAATATAATTTTAACTCTCTAAATTGAAAATTAGCCACCTCGGACATAATTTTAAGCAACGTACCCTGGACTTAGTAACTCTAATCACATTGTTTTATGTCACCCTTCAATATATCTATATAAAACATAATAAACCCTTCAAGTAAAGTTACCTATTACAACGGTAAAATAGGAGATAATGTAGCATTAATTAGAGACACAGTTCTTGAAAATGGGATATATTGCATCATGATATTTAAATTGCATTAACTTCTTTTAGATATCAATTAGATTTTACCCTCAACCTCTAAAAATATCAACATTTCTCCAAAGTTTAATAAAATTGCGTCAGAAATATTTCAAAGTTGGTTTGTATATCAAATAGTAAAGATAGCAGCAAAAATAAATGAACAATCAAAAGAAATTTTATAACAAACGCTACTTTGGAAGGAAGTAAAATAATGTAACAAATCTGTAAATAATTAATTTCTGAAAATCAAAAAAACCAAACGATCATTATCACAACATTTGGAAAGATAAAAGTTTAATACTTCAAACCTTAATATTAAATGTATTTAATACTTCAAACTTTATTAGCATGAATACAGATCAATGCGAAAACCCCATTTTTGCTTACAATAATGTTTCCAACCATCTAAGCAAATTAGAGACAGATTATCGGGCCCCGATAATCTGTCTCTAATTTTATTAAATCATCCCGCCTCGAAATATGTCTCAGGAAAAAAATGTTCTATAGAATTTCCTATAAACTTTTGAAACATATGGCTTATAGAAACTCTTAGAATTTCTATAGAATGTCTTTTAATTTCTATAGAAATTGCTATAAAACTTTTTTTCTATAAAAAAAAAAAAGTAGAAAAAAAAATTTCTTTAGGAATTTTTATAAAATTTAACAGAAATTCTATAAAAGTTTAATAGAATTCTATAAAATTTCTACAGGCCATATGTTTCAAAAGTTTAAAGATTTTTCTATAGAACTTTTTTTCGTGGGGTATCACTCAATTTTAAATAAATACCTATAAATCAAAAAATGAAATAAAATAGTATTATATTTATATAAATAATGGGGTCCTCTATTTAAAAGTATTGTGCTGATCATAAATATTATAACTGAAATCTTAAATTTGGTTAAACTTATTGAAAGAACAAAACTATATAAACATTGGCGGAAGCAAATAATTTGAATTGATTTAGAGTTTTGACATGCTCTGTGCAATCTGTGCTAGATTAAGGAGGGGGGGGGAGCTCAGTGACATGCTTAGTGCGATGATAAAAAGCTTACATCGTGCAAAATAAAAAAGAGTTGAAAAACTGTAGATTTGTTCATTTGAAAGGTTGAATTACTTTAATTACATACTAAAAATTCGTTGCTCATTAAGAACATAACAATAAAACGAAAAAAATTTACAAAATTTCTTGGTGTTCAAATAGACGAACATTTATCATTGAAGAATAATATTGGTCACATTGAACTAAAAATGTCATCTGCAATAGGTATTTTATATAAATCTTGCTCATTTCTTAATTTATGTTCAAGAAAAAAACTTTAGTCTGATTCATAGTCATCTCACATTAATATTGTGAGATGATTCATTATATGAATCTGATTCATAGTCATCTCACATATGCTAATATAGTGAGATAATTCATTATATGAATCAGACTAATATACCAAATTTCATTTTAAAGATTTTCGTCATCATTTTCCTAAAGTTATAATTTGCGATCAAATAGTTTCCATGACTATTATACTAAAAAAACTAAAAGCCGGTATTTTGAACTTTTAATTGTCACAAGGCTCCCAAAAATGGAAAAACTTGAAAAATCAAAGACTTTAGGGTTATCCACAAATTACGTCAGACAATTTTTGACCATTTTAGACCCCTTTCCCCTCCTCCCCTCGTCACAATATTGTAACTCTTTAGTAACAAGTTCTGTATGAGTCGTCACAAAACTATTAACTCCTCCCCCCCTCCCTCCTAAGCTTGACGTAATTTATGAACGCCCCCTTTAATGAAATATTGTCGTTTAAACGGCAAGCTAAATTGCATTTTCTTGATTTGTAGAAATAATCGCAATTATTAAAAAATTAAAAATTAATAATAACATAAAAAAAAGTTATTAATAAAAAAATAAAAAAACATTAATACCAGTAGAAATAGCATTTACAAAGCTAATTGCAAAATAATAATAATTAAAAAATTGTTGCTAAATTTACTTTAATTATTCACAGAGATATAGATACTTTAGAGATATAATTAGTGTTGTTATCGACTTCGACTAAATCGACTAAAAGTCGACTAGTCAAAAGTGATTTTAATCGAACAGTCAAATTAATCGAATATGGACTTTCTACTAATAGACTAAAAGTTGATTTAGTCGAGTAAAAATCTTAAAGTCCTTTTATCTTTTCATTCAATTCAACTTTTCAATCTCTAGTTTTTGTTTGTTCATTTAATAACAATTGCATTGTCCCGGAAAAATAGCTTGTCCCGTTGTCGAAGCAGCCCTTCTCTTATACTGTTTTACTCCATTATTATTTAAATAATATTTTATTAAAAAATAGAAAGGAGTTATAAATTACTTTATTATTTTATTAGTGTTTATTTCAAAAAAAAAAAATATTCCCATCGATTAAATCAACTTTTAGTCGACTTAAACAATTTCAAAATATGTCAATCGATTTTAGTCAACTTTAGAATACATATTAGTCAATTTAGTTGACAGTCGAATTATTTAAGAGTCGTAACAACACTACTGCAAATATTTTTTTTGCAGTTTTATATCCAAAAAGGCAGAATTTTTTTTTTGATTACCTTTTATATATAGGTATTATACACATACCTTGTAATTTGGAAGAAGTGTTTAGGAGATTGTTGGCAACCACAGACCCCTACATTTCATCTCTGCGATATATATATATATATATATATATATATATATATATATATATATATATATATATATATATATATATATATATATATATATATATATATATATATATATATATATATATATATATATATATATATATATATATATATATATATATATATATATATATATATATATATATATATATATATACATATATATACTCAGGAAAAAAAGTTCTATAGAATTTTTTATAAACTCTTGAAACATATGGCTTATAGAAATTCTATAGAATGTCTATTAATTTCAATAGAAATCGCTATAAAACTTTTTTTGTATAAAAAATAAAGTAAAAAAAAAAAAATTCTATAGAAATTTTTATAAAAGTTAACAGAAATTCTATAGAAATTCAATAGAATTCTATAGAATTTCTATAGGCCATATGTTTCAAAAGTTTATAGGAAATTCTAGAACTTTTTTTCCTGGGTATATATATATATATATATATATATATATATATATATATATATATATATATATATATATATATATATATATATATTTTAATAAGTTGGGAGTTACTAAAAAATAAGAAGAGAGTTATAGAGCAAGGAAACAGTTGGTAGAAGACTTAAAAAGTTGAAGGTTGTATGAGTCAGGAAATTATGAACATGGGAGAGAGTTTCAAAGGGTTAAGGTGCTGGGGAAAAAAACAAAATAAATAAAAGTTTTTAGAGCATGCATGGACAGATTCAATAAATAAATGAGATTTTGCTGAATGACAAGTCAAGCGAGAACGAGTTGATGAAACTAGAGATGATAGCTCCTTTGAGCAGTGACCATGATAGTATTTATAAAAAAGAGAAAGAGATGCAACTTTACGACGCACAGTGGTTCAGATATCGAAAAAGCTGGTCAAAATAAGAAAACGTTGAATGATTTGCCTGAAATTTCATGGCAAATATTTTTTGAAGTTACTGATTAAAATTTTGCTTAAAAAAAAATATGGCAGATATATATGTTAAAAAATTGTTTAAGTTGTTCATAAATGGGTTTTGAAGGTTCTTTCAGGCCACAAATTAAAAATTTGACAAAAAAAAGTTTAAAAAAATTAAAAAACAAAATGGTGGATCCAATGTGTCCGTAAGAGCTAAAAAATGGGTCAAATGATGGAAGATAGTGTTAAATATAGAAAAAACATTTTGTTTCAGTTATAATCATTTTGGTTCTTTTTCATCTTGATCTGTCTCTTTGTTGAAATCTTTATTATATTCAAAGTTTGTTTCATCGGAATCTGCGTCAGAGTCTTCATAACCTTCTGTTACAGGAACCAAAAGGGCAACAGCCTCTGGCAACAAAGTCTTCATTTTTTTTGGTGTTGATTTTCGCAGAGATGAAATGTAGGGGTCTGTGGTTGCCAACAATCTCCTAAACACGTCTTCCATAGTCTTAACTCTTAAAAACTTTCGAGAAAAACCCAAACGATATTGCTTTATTAACTTATTGGTTAATTCTTGAGCATTCTCGGACAGTTGACCAATGGGTAAAATGGCCGAAGAAATGATATCTGGTCCGTGGATCAGCAATCTATGTGCTGATGTTGGCATGTTGTACCAGGGATATTCTTTGATATAGTGTCTTGCAGTTGCTAAGACGTAACCTCGAAACTTTTCAACGTCAATTTCATGTCCACTCGAAATTATTTGCAAAATTATATGAAAAAGGTAGATTAATTCTTCGGAAACACCAGTTATCAATGATGACGTTTGAGTGTTTTCAAAAAAACGTCGAGCGGTGTTTCCGTTGTTCGTGCTGCCCAACCCTTGCTTTGGCATGTCGACTAAAATTCCTAGTTGCTGTTTGAAAGTTTTTTGGGTGCTAGCTTTCATTGTTGCTTTTTCCTGCTTATCTTCTTTTTTACGCGCTTGCCATTTTTTCGTATTTTTTTTTTGTATCCCAAATGAATACAGCATTCAAAACATCGAATCCAGGCGTGTAGAGTTGACAGTCCGTACTGTAGATAATCATTGGTTATCTACAGTACGGACTATCTAACATGGTCATACTTAAACTGTAATAAATAAAAACATTTTTCATATGAATGGTTGTTTTTAATGGTTGGAGTTGTTCAATCTGTTTGTCAAAATGCGTTTTCTCATTTATAAAATTTTCCTTAGTTTCCTTTGTAAATTGCAATTTTAGAGGTCTGCAAAAGAGGGTTGAAGATGGCTTCGGATTACTCCATAAGAGATTTTCTTCTTTTGTTTCTTGATTTACACCTACAAGTTGCAATGGAACAAGCGAAGTAAAAAGTAAACTTGCATCTGATATATTCGGATCTTTAAAAGTCATTTTATAAATGCTTTGTCCGGATGTTTCCGTCAAGCCCCACTTACAAATCAAAGTCATATTCAATATTTCTGAATCACTCTTATATGTAATATTGTCTTGGTTCAGCTGTAAAATACGTTGAACGGTGTGGTTTAATAAAGCTTGCAACTGTACCTCAGCTTTTGATTCGGTAAAATTTAAGGTGTCGTCTGGAGGGTAGCAACATTTTTTTGCTGCCAATACAGCTGAGTATGGTGGATAAAATGTATTTAAGCCTTTTTTTTGCCTGATTTCTCAAATGCTGGTACAAATCTTTCGTCAAACTTAGGTCTTATAAAAGTACTAGAGCTTCATTTGCATCATAAAAGGCTGGCAATGATAATGATAGTTGCAAACTTTCCTTGTATTTTGTTGCCTTGAATGGACTTGACAGTGTAACGTCATTCACAATCTTAGCAGCGTCTGAATGCCCTGAAGATCGAAGACTCATTTGCGTAGCAAATGATAGCTCGGCAGGACTGAACTTCGTACGCATCTCTTTAGTCCTCCTTTTTTTGGACCTATCAGATAAAGTTTCGAAACTTCTGGTGGGTCGACCCGTTGATTTATTTACAATTGCACGTTTTGCATCAATCTGAAAATATACTGAAGTTTTTAACCAGTTTTCGTTCTTTTTGAAAAAGTAATCTTGTCGTTGAGCTGCTTCCTTATATTTCTTTCTAAATTTTGTCATTAAAACAGAAATAGTAGGTCTCATGTTGTCGCGAATTGAAATTACATATCCAATCTTTTCAGTCAATGACTTTTCCAAATGTTCTATGATCACTTGCAAATCGTTTGAAAAATATTTTTTTGTTATAATAAAGACCTCTTTCCTCGAAAGTCCATATACGGCAACCGGTGGATCTGATAAACCTAAATTTAAAAAATCTATGTATACTTATTTAAAATGTATTTCCTCAATATTTAGTTAAGTTTTCAACTTTTTATTTTAATAAAATATATAATTGTATTTATACCATCATTTAAATGAATTTCATCCATTTCCAAATCGTTTGCTTTGTAATAAGTCCGTAAACTCGAAAGTCCGTAAACGGCGACCAAACTTTTAACTAAATTATTTATTTTGATATTCTAATTTTAATAAAAATGTATAATGTATTATCCAGTAATATAAATGAATTCTATCCATATTGCAAAAAGATAATGACTTAAAGATTTAAATTACTGTATAAATTAGATATAAATTACTGTATTGATACATTTATAATTACTGTATAGATAAATATAAATTACTATATAAATACTTTCAATACAATGCAAATACAACTTTTATTTTAGTTATCAATTTATGCATTATTTATGTATTTATTTATCAACTCATTTATTAAATACTTAAATGCGCTAAAAAAACATATGTACAATGTTTGTATTCTAATGTTTTTTCTTAATTTAGTTATGAAGTTAATAACTTTTTTAATAAAAAATATTTTTTAATATTAATAATGTCATTAAAAAATAACCAATTATTCAGTTTAAAATATGAAACAAGAAAAAAAAATGGGAATGGAATCATACCTTGAAGATTGGAAAATGGTATCTACTGTGTGGCGGTGTGTGTAGCGATCACTGTAAGTTATTCATCTCACTGTGTAGGAGAAAGCGTTGTTCCCGTCCTTTTCTACTTTTAATCTTCTTTATAATGCCTCTAGACACCGATTATAATTAAAATTATACAAATGTAGCTCATAGTTAAATAATTTTACTTTCATTTTTCAAGATGTCTTAATAACGGCATTTTGCAACTGTCATATAAAACATAGCTTAAAAGTGGAGTTGGTACTAGTAGGTGAGTTTGAATGTTAAATTACAAAAAAAATACTGCATACGTACAAACACAATGCAAATGAAAGTGGAATATCGTGGAATTCATAACTTATCTCTATTTTTAAAGCAAATTTTACAATTTTATAAAATATTTTTCTGTATTAAGTTAATTTAAAAAAAAACCTTTATAATTGATGACTTAATAATAATATTTCTGTTTTTTAATTAGTACATACCTTGTGAAACGAATTCCATATTGAAAATATTTGTTTCACGTGCACACAACAAAAATATTTATTTTTGAAAAAAAGACGATTTTTTGAGCTTTAACGTACGCAAGTACGACATACAAAGGACTGCCGCGTTCGATCTGCAATATAGCGCACGAAATGAACAACTGATCTTCTGGATACCCGGCATTAAGTAGTCCCAACATCACTGAAGCCAACCTGATAGTCCAAAAGTACCGTATCGAAAATTTTTTTTTTCCTTTTTGACCAGCTTTTCTGAGATCTGACCCACTGTGCGACGATGGGAAAGAGGCTCAAGCTTAAAAGATAGAGCGGTTCCAACTACTTTTACAATGCCTTTTTGGACTTTATTTAGAAGAGTGAGAGCATCATTAGAAGAACCAACCAAAATGACAACAGAAATCCATACAGAGACAAATAAGAGATTTGTAGAGGTAGAGAATGAAATCAAGAGAGAGAGAAAATCACAAGCACGATAAAGAGACTCTAGCAGATGCTAATTTAGTCATCGGTTGTACATATGGTTTTTATATAACAAGGTCAGTAGTTAACAATAATCCATGAAGGCGTAAAGAAAAGGATTCAGTGAGAAAGTTGCATTCATTAATATAGAAATGTTGACAGTACTGCGATAGTTGTTTGCAGTAAATAACTGAGTTTTGTTGGAATTTACAAGCCACTGTGAGCCCCAATCTGTTACAGAAGTGAGATCAGATTCAAGATCGGCTGCCTGTTACTCCTGTCATGACAAAAAGAGAAGACTTTTTGTCATGACAGGAATATAAAGTTAAGCAATCATCAACAAAAAGAGCTACATTAGATTTAAGGTTGTCGAGAAGGTCATTCGTGCAGATAAGAAACAAAACAGGACCTTGAGGTACTCCAGAAGTTACTGGAAATGAAGAAGAGTGTAATGATGGAAATGAAGAAGAGTGTAATGATGGAAATGAAGAAGAGTGTAATGATGGAAATGAAGAAGAGTGTAATGATGGAAATGAAGAAGAGTGTAATGATGGAAATGAAGAAGAGTGTAATGATGGAAATGAAGAAGAGTGTAATGATGGAAATGAAGAAGAGTGTACTGATGGAAATGAAGAAGAGTGTAATGATGGAAATGAAGAAGAGTGTAATGATGGAAATGAAGAAGAGTGTAATGATGGAAATGAAGAAGAGTGTAATGATGGAAATGAAGAAGAGTGTAATGATGGAAATGAAGAAGAGTGTAATGATGGAAATGAAGAAGAGTGTAATGATGGAAATGAAGAAGAGTGTTGTGGGTTCGAGGATAACTTTAATAAAGCGGTTAGAAAGAAACAATTTGATAATCTCAAAAACTTTTTTAGATATACCATAAGAAACAAGTTAATGGAGGTGACCAGCATGCCAAACTTTGTCGAAGGGCTTAGATATACCAAGAGCAATAGCCCTAGCCTCTCCGATTCCATCTAATGCACAATAAAATCTTTCAGTCACAGAAGTTAGCAAATCAGCTGTAGAGCTAGAGGATCGAAACCGTGTTGACTGTCTGACCGCAAGTTATTTGACTCAAGATGTGATGTGAGAAATTTGTTTATCAAAGACTCAAAAAGTTTGCTAATTACAGAAAGAAGACTGATTAGGCGATAATTGGAGGGGTCAGAATGTTCACCGGAGTTTTTGAAAATGGGCACAACAGATGCCATTTTCCAGTAATCAAAAAAATTAAACTCAGTTAAGCACTTATTAAATAGTTTAGAGAAAAATGAAGAGAGTTCTGGAGAACAATTTTGTAAGACTATAACAGAAATGTTGTCTGGACCACAAGCCGTAGAAGAATTTAATCGAGATATGAATTTAGCAACGGAAGCTGAAGTAATTTAAATGTTCAACAATGGGTTAACCTGTTTAATTGGAATGGAAGGAAGAGAATTTTCATAAGATTCGAGAGCCAAATTAGAAGAAAAGTTCTTTACAAATAGTTCTGCCTTATCCTTGGGAGAGGTGAAAAGGTCAGTCCTATGAATGAGAGATAAATGTTAGGAATGTTAAACCTAAACTTGTAAACGACGCTGTTAAAGATTTTCCAAAAGTCTCTAGCGCCTAATTTCTAAGATATGATACTAGATTTAGTGAACTAAGAATAATGGAGCTTAGCCTTTGACAGCACCTTTTTACATTGATTTCTAGCAATAGTAAATAGCCGTAGCAAAAGCAGGTTAGTTGTAAGTAGTGCTATAATAGGATTAGTCTCAAAATGAAGTACAAGATGAAAGATCTAAGTAAGTGGTTGAGAAATGCAGAAATTGGTAGAGTGAAGAGGTGCTAAGCGGAAGCACATAAAAGAATGATCAAAGAATTCAAACATGATTTCACGACAAACAGGTGAATTGATGCGTATGTATATTCCCAAGCCAAGCATGTGATTATTGGAATCTTTTGCGATCAAAGAATAGTACCCATCAACACTGAGATCAGAAGAAGGAATAGTAGAAGTTAAATTAGCTTAACTATAAAGTTAGCAAGTCTGGTGAATTTTGCAAGAGGTAAGATTTAACTGATGGAAGGTTGCTTTTCAGGCCACGAATATTAGTAAAAGATATATTAAAACATTTAGATGGTAGGCATGGTATTTTATTTTTAATATTTTGGGTTACTTTTTGCATGATTTAAGTTTAAAGAGAAGTTGGCTCATTCATAGATAGTGCACGGTCTCCTAAGCAATAAGCTATAGAACTTTCTCAGTCCTTTTAATTAATCCTAAGTTGTAACATAGGGCTGCATATGTGGCCTCACAATGCTTATCAAAAACATTAACAGAGACACTATCCATGCGCAATAAGGCACTGTTAATACTCTGATATTTTGCAGCTACAGTAATTCAAATAGTAATAACAACAGTACAGCAACAGTAATTCAAATAGTAATAAAAATAAGTCGCTCATTGTTTATCAGCATCTGTCATAATGGTATTTATATGGCTATATGGAGAATACCATACGTGTAAAGCAAAGGCTTTAAAGAATTCACCTAAAAAACAATATGAAAATGTGCATTTTTTGAAAATTTATGGAGGAAACAAGTTTATTAAAAAAAAACGCAAAATTTTTTAATTGAATAATAAAATTAACTTTTGAATAGCAAGATAAAAATTTCATTGAAGAAAACTTTTTTGAAAGTCTTTTTTAAAAAACATTTTTTTCAAGGGAAATTACATAAAGTACAAAAGTTTTTACTAATAAAAAAAAAAAATTTTCCTTACAATATTTGTTTTATGCATTCCTGTAAACTTTTATTTTTTATAAGAAAACCTTCATTATTATTATCATTATTATAATTTGTTAGACTCCCGAAAGCCGGGGATCCACTGTGGATGAAACTACTTGCAATTTTTTTTTGTCTTCTGAAAAATAGAAATCCCAAACATCAAAAGTACTTGAAGTGAAGTTTATAAAAACAAAAGCTTTTTTTTTATATTGTACATTTTTATATAAAACAGACTTTTTAAAACGAGTTTTTTAATAACTTTCAACAGTTTATTTCCTAATGTATATATATATATATATATATATATATATATATATATATATATATATATATATATATATATATATATATATATATATATATATATATATATATATATATATATATATATCAAACTAACGTCAAAAAATCTTTTTTTATCTTAACACAATTATATTAAAAAAAAAATTTATAAATGATTTATTATATTAAACTTTATATAATAATAACATAACAATATAACATAATACATTTATGTAATTGCTGATTATTTCGTTCTCATTTTTACACTTATTTAAAACAGTTATTTTTAACAAATTTGATTAACATAAAATTAAGGAAAACTATAAAATAATAATTCTTGATGTAAAAAATAAAAAACATTTCCATTCATTATAAAATTTGTTCTTACTCGTATTTAAATTTTAGAAAAAAATAATTTGATATACTTTTTTATTATATTAAATTTATAAAAAATTAAAATTAAAATTTGAAAAACTATTCCTTTTAGATATCAATTAGTAAAATTTCGTTTTATGTTAAATCAAACACGTTTCCATTAGGAAGTGTGTTAAATTCAACTATTCTTATATGTGTTATATACATTTTATTTATTTATAGGATATTTAGGTGCTTTAAGAAAACCTTAAGGTCTTGTCAAATGAATTCAAACTAAAAGTTAAAAAATTTTACAACAATTTATGACGTCTTAACTTAAAACGTAATAACTTTTTGTTGAATTCTTTGATTTCAATAATTCTTTCACCTTTGGAATACTGTACAAAATACTAAAATCCTTTCCAATGGTTTTATAAAACTTAATTAAAAGTATTTAATTAGCTTTTTAAATAATTTAATTAAAATTTGGTTAAAGTTTTCGTAACAATTTCAGATAAAAATAAACTTTTTCTTAAAATTCATTTTTACTTGAAATTGTTAACATATTTATTTTTTATTGTTAACAAACTTAATTTGATCTGAAATTGATGAAAAAAATTTAACCAAATTTTGTTTTTCTTAAATCAAAATGTTTTAACTTTGTTAGCTTTTATCGAAATACATACAACTAAGAATAAAAAAATGGTCTAAAACAGTGGTGGCCAAACCACTGCCACGGGCAAAAAAATGCCCGCAGAGACTTTTTTAAATGCCCGTTAAACAATTTTCATATTTAGGAGACAACCATCTTGGTAATGTGATACTTCTATCTACCTCAAAAATCAATCCAGACATCAAAAAACTAATTTCAGGCGGTCAAGTTAATACCACTCTTAATAACTATATTACTTTGATACAAATAATTATAATAAAAATTATAATAACTATATTACAAATAATTATAATTGTTATTAGTCTCTTATATTTTCGTAAAAATAAATATTTTTAGCCCACAAAATTGTTTTTTAGCTTTCTT